TTCCAAGCAGGTCCTAGGGTCTGCGTCTGGCCCAAGTGCTCTGCGCCCAGAGTCAGGGAGGAGGGGACCTCTGGGGGCTCTGGGAGAGCTCCTCCCCACCTTCCCTCCTTCCATTACCAAGTCTCTCCTGAGCACCTTTTGAAAACTCGCCCAGTCCTGGACACTGGGGAGAGGAGGAACGTCCCTGAGCGGGAGTAGCAGATGGTGACAAGGCTGGGGGCAGGACATGCCAACCAGGAGGGCTGCAAGTGTTGAAGAAGCCAGAGCAGTCAAGAGGTGGTGGTTGGTTGGGGGAGGGGGGCTAGGGCGGCCCAGGAAGGCCTCTAGGAGCAGAGGACCAAGTGGGGACCATGCAGACACCTGCAAGAGCCGAGCAGAGGTGGCAGAGCCACCAGGGGCTGCATGAGGTCCGGCAGCGGGACCTCCTGGCCCAGTGTCCCGGCAGCACAGCCCGGTCCCAGCAAAGGCACCAACTCCGCAACCTTGGCTGCAGGAGGGGTGCTGGGCCTTTCCCCCACTCCCCCTGGCCCTGGAGGGAGGGCTGGACCACCACCTCCTGCCCCCAGCACACCCCCGGCTCAGAGGCCCTCAGCTACCACCTGCCCCGTGGCAGGTCAATGATTCTCCCCCTCGCTCCAGGCTGCCCAGTGATGTGCCCAGCCCCAGGCCATTACCATCGTGGAAAAGGCTGGGACAGCACCCACACCATCCAGTTTGACAGGTTATGAGGCAGGGCTCTGGAGTTTGAGCTCCTGTGTCATCTCAGGCAGGGGCCGCCTCCCCAGAACCCACAGGGACCCAGAGTGGTGGGCTGGGCCCAGGAGCCTGGGAGCCTCCAAGGGGTCTGGGTCCCCAAAATTGATATGGGGAGGGAAGCACGGGTTCCTGAGGGAAGACAGGTCTGGGGGTCCTGTGCTCAGGCCAAGGAGAAGACCAGGGGCCCCACTCTCCCACACCCACTGCTGCCCTGGCAAGCCCAGGCCGGGGGGTCACCAGCCCCAATCACTCAGTCCAGGGCTTGGCTGGAGGAGCTCTCCACCCTCCAGGCTGACCCATGGCCACCTCAGGGCAGAGAGTCAGAGACCACAGTCCAGCAAGACTGACCCCTGAAGCCCCTAGTGTCGGTACAGGCAAGCGAGGAGCTGGGAGTGCATCAGCCCCTGTGTGGGGTCAGGGAGGCCTCCCCATAGTGGGGTCACCCACAGGACCCTCAAAAGTAAGGAGCGGTTTAAGGGGTGTGTCAGTCCCCGAGGGCCACCATAACAAATGACCACAAACTGGGGGCTTGAAACAACAGAAATGTATTCTCTCACAGTCCAGGAGGCCAGAAGTCAGAAGTCAAGGTGGGGGCTGGGGGGCACTCCCTCCAGAGTCTCTAGGGGAGGGTCCTTCCTGCCTCCTCCGGCCTCTGGTGGGCTTGTGACCACACCACCCCAATCTCTGCCCCCATCTTCACGTGGCTTCTCCCGGGTCTCCTCTCTCTGCCTCCCTCTTGTGAGGACGCTGGTCGTTGGATTTAGGGCCCACCAGATAATCCAGGAGGATCTCATCTCAAGATCCTTAATCACATCTGCAAATTCCCTTTTTCCAAGTAAGGTCGCATCTGCTGGCTCTGGGGCTTCAGACATGGACTCATTTGGGGGCCACCATCCAGCCGTACAAGAAGCAAGTTAAGGCACCCTAAGCAGAGACACCCTTGAGACCCACACAAGACTCTGGAGGGCAACAAGGCCACGTGACTGGCAGGCAGACACCACATGAGAGGCTGTGTGGTAAAGGGAGATGAAATAGAGCAGGTAATGCTTAGGAAACACAGAATCTGCTATAGGGTCAGGTTCTGGGGTCCTGGCATGGATTTGGGGTTCTTCAGAAGGCTCAGGGATGATCAGGTGGGGACGATGCACAGGATGCCCCTGCTCCAGCCACAGCCCCACCCTCCACCTCCACCGACGGCCCCCTGCCCAGCTCCCCATGGAGCCTGGCCTCCTGCCCCTCCCCATCTCCCTGCTTCCCTCTGGGCCACTGGGTTGCTGTTGCCCAGAGACAGTTGCCAGGCCACCACTGTTGTTTCCCTGGCAGAGGGCTCACACCACCTTGCTGGGCAGGTAAGAGGGGCAGGCAGGCCACCAGCGCGAGTCCTCTCTGGGCGTGAGGGCCGTGGCCGCCGTCCTGTGCCCCCTCCCCACCCGGACACCAGGGACCCTGTGGGTTCTGTCAGGACTCTGCCCAGGAGCAGAAGGGAGACAAAGGAGGGTCAGGGGAGGGGCACCCTGGCTGAGATGAGCCCCCTCTGCGGAGGGTCCACACCCCCAGCGCCACAGCGTGAGGGTCATAGACCCCCAGGCCAGGCCAAGAGGGGTGTGCCTTCTGGGGGTGGCGGCTCCTCAGGAAGAGCCCCTTTGCCCAGGACTAGGTCTGTCTCCCCGGACCCATCCCCCGAAGGGCATCGTCCCAGACAGCCTGCCCCCGGCCAGGAGCCCCCAGCCCATCCAACAATGTCAGCACCTCCTTAGCACCGCATGAGGACAAACGTGTGTTTTGGGAGAAGACGCATGGCGGGACACTGACGTCTCCTCCTGTTCTTGGACATTTTCTTCAGGTTCACCAGGGTCCTCCTTTCATCATACTGGGGTGCCGTTTCCTGCCGGTCTTTTTACCTGACCAGGTAAAAAGTTTATTTCAGAATTTACTCTAAAGTCGAGCTTTCCCCTGCTTCCGCGGCCCATATGGAGTGTGTGGTGACCCTCCTTCACGGCCGGGGCTCCCATCCCGTGACCCTGTGATAAATGCGTGCCGTGAACATCTCTGAGCATAAAGCTTTGTTTCTGTATTTAGAGTTCCGTCCTTCAGAGAAACTCTGAAAAGTGCAAGCGCTAGAGCCGAAGGCTCGCAGAGCCCAGAGGCCTGATACCCGCGCCCACCCTCCCACCCGTTACCCTCCCGCCAGCCGCTTACAGACTCCGCCGTTCGCCACCTGTCTGCACACCCAGGGTCCTGTTTTCTTTTCTCTTAATCTTTGTTAACTTGAATGACAAGAAACGGTAACGCATGCCTTATTTAATTCTCTTTGTGAGAGTGATAAATACAGGTTCTCCCACTATCAGTAGGGCACTCCTATGAAGCCTTTCCTAAGCCGAGATGGCATAAAGCAAAGAGCCAACTTCCATTAATTTATACGGGGCAAAAAAACCTTAGCATTCCCAGACCCAAAAATAACCTTCCTTAGGCTTTTCTGGTATGTTAGGATACATCTTGCTGATGGATGCACAACCTAAACGGAGATAAAGCGCAGACGCCCACAGACACAGCTCAGGGCTCTGGGGCCAGATGCTGGCTGGGGGGGTGGCCCCCAGGGGGGGGCTGAGCCCCAGGAGGGGGCTGAGCAGCCCCGCCCAGCTGCTGGCTGCTTCTGCAAGGGCTGGCTGCAAAACAGCTGAACGCCATTTTCCCTTTTTGCCTTTTTCCCTAAAAGCAAATATCCTCTTCAGACTTCTTTCAGTTAACAAAAGCAGGTACTAACGCAGGTCTTTCGTCAAGGTAAAGCCGGGGTGAAGGGGGTGCCCGCAGAGGGAGGAAAGCCAGCCGCAGGCAGCAGCTCCAGCTCTGGGCTCTGCGGTCCTGCGGAGCCCCCGCACGCCGCTCTGCTTACATACCCGTCCACTCTGGACGCTGGAGGACGGGGCCCGGTCCCTTGCACACCACGCCCCAGCACCGCACACGGTCCTCTCCCTCTGGAGCTGACCATCGCCCTGTTCTACACTTCTCTCCCTGCCGTTCCCTAGCCATGCCCAAATGCCACCGCGCCCTCCTCAGCATCGCCACTACGAGCCCACACCGACGTGTGTCACACGTGTCAGAAGCCCTCTGTCCTCCCAGCAGCCCCATCCCAGCCCCCGTTACTGTGAAGAAAGGGAGGCACGGATGGGTTAGCTGGACTGCCCAGGAACTTCCCCTGGTGCTCTGGATGCCCCCCTCCGGCCCCTCTGCCAGGCCAGCGCCAGGTCCCCCACAGATGCCGGCTTAACTCGATTTCCTTCCCACTCCCGTCTTTGTGTTCTTCCTGCGCCATCTCCTTGAACTTCCAACCCTTCTATTGCATTTTTAATTTCCACCAGCCCTTTCGTATTCCGTGTCCCTTTGTTCTGACCGCAGCCAACCCTCTCTCGGGAGTGGCCAGTCTCCTGTTCACAGCCCAGCCCCTTCCAGGGCTTGGCTTCCTCGGATTCTGCGTCATCCGTTCCTCCCCCCTCTTCCACTTCCTGTGCACACGTGTGTGACTGTGTCCATGTCCCTGCGTGTGTGTGTGTGTGCACAGCTCTCACACCTGGGGGCGGGGGGCCCTCGGGGCCACTCAAGAGTCCTGAGGGATGGTACTGAACACTTGTATCTTGGTCGGGGGGTCCATACCCCCAGCAGGACTCTGGGACTTGCTGCTGGGTTCTGGGAGCCTAGTGGGAGGGGACCGGGGTCTTCCAGGCCAGGCACGCACATGCATGCACTCTCCCTGTTTTCAGCAGGCTTGTATCCCCCCAGCCATGCCGGGCCGGGCCCAGCCCCCACACTCAGCCTCCTCCAAGGAGCCCTCCCATTCTGGGTGGGCCAGGGCTTGGGGCAAGGGACTCTGGGTGGTCCACACTCAGCCCACCCTCAGCCCAACCCCAGCTACCAGCCCAGCTCCCATAATCATGTTGACAGCTATTCAGAGTTTATTCCTCTTCTGTCTTAAGTGGGGACTAAAGCATTTCTTGGGTGACCAGCTGGTTTGCTTGCAAAGTGACTGTCCTCTCTGGAGAGTGATCTGCTGGCACCTGGCTTGTCCTTTCTCTGTCCTGCCAACTCCACAGTGTGCTGGCCTCTCCACTGCTTATCTTTTTTCAATCCTTTAGAAAGTCCTCACCTCCCAAGCAGCCCCCTAATTGGGAAGGACCCATCAAAGAATGGCTACAATCCCTGAAATGTTCCCAAGTTGGCCACACGGGAAAGGGTGCTCAAAAGGAGACATGGTCCTCGGGGCAGGGCCCGGAGCCAACGAGGATGCTGCCGGACACCTTACTGCCAAGCCCCACATCACAGTGCCACCCTCAACTCGGGGAGGCACCCGCTTGGGGCCAGGGTGCCCCTCCAGGCCCCAGAGACCTGACAGCGGCCCTCCTTACAGCCAGCACCACCGAGGCCAAGCATGGCAATGCCAGAGAGACGGCCCCCGCAGGGAAAGCCTCGCCTGGGATAGACAGGATGCGCAGACGGCCTTGCCTACACAGGGCACCAGGCCCTACGGTCACCACAGAGACAGAAGCCAGCCGCAAGCAGAAGCCCAAGTCCAGGATCCCAGGCGGCACCCCTCCCCAGGGCTAGGACCACGGGCTGCTCAAAGGTCCCACAGAGGGGTGGGGGTGGTGTCTTCCCAGAGGTGCCCCCGCCCTTGCGTTCCCGCGCCTGCAGCCCGAAGCCACACCCACTTCATCCACCATCGGGGACCACCCACTCGGACCCACGTCAGTGGGAAGAGGGGGAAGCGGTCCAGGATTGCAGGGGTCCGGCGGAGCCACACCCGGGTGCCAGGTGAATGCAGCCCTGGGACTGGCTCCACCCCCACCCCAGGCCAGTGCCTCCCTGGGGCAGGCGTCCCATCCCCGAGGAAGGCATTCCCAGGGGCGGACCACACATGGCCATTCTTTAGGAGAGGGGCTAGGAGAAGGCCATGCACTGGGTGCGGGGTTCGGACCAGCTGAGCAGGGCAGAAAACAGCAGAGCCGGGGTCTGAACAGGCACAGAGACGGGACACAGCAGCACTTCGCAGTCTGGGCATGCCACCCTGATGGGCACCCACAGTAGGCACTGCCCCTGCTGGCCCCAGAACCCAGCCCCTGTCCAGGACAGGCTGGATCCATCTCCCCTGCCTGACATGGGTCACCCATGACATCATGATAGACATTGTGACCCCCACTGTCCTGGGCACATCCCTGCACATGTCTCCCCGCGCCCCCCCCGGCTCCAGCCGCAAGCCCTAGCCCTCCTCTGCACGGAGCCCCTGCCCTGTCGGTAAGCAGGGACCTTGCCCACTCCAAGTCTGGCCCTAAATGGTGATGACTCTCCCCTCTTGCCCAAGACAGGTTCAGGCCCACGGGTCAGGACTCAGCCTGGGCTGAGATGGGCCCAGATGGCTGGGGGGACCGCCCAGGGGCTGCTAGAAATGGGCAGGATGGCCAGATTCAGGATGGACACCTCCCCCAGCCCCTGCCTCAGAACCCACCCTGTTCACAGGCTGGGCCCATGAGAGACCAATGGGGAGCAACAAGGAGGAGCAGGTCCTGCACTCACTAAGCCAGCTGGGACAGGATGCAGGTGGGCTTGGGGCAGGGCCAGGGGACAGGAAAGCCTCCAGCCAGGCCAGAGCCTCTGACCCCCCACCTGCCCACAGACCTCCTGGACGACACTGGTATTTCCAGGCCTCGGGCCGCTCTCCTGGAGAGGCACCTGCCGGAGGGGGAGAAACAGCCCCACAGCATCGGGCAAGGGCCCTACTTCTACATCGGAGGCACCAACGGGGCCTCCATGTGAGTGGGGGGCCTCAGGCTCGGCCCTGCTGCCTGTGGCCTCCGCATCCCCTCCCCCGGCATGCCTACCCACTCCCAGGTCTCCAAGGCCCCCAGGGTCACCACTGCCCCTGTGCCCCTGCAGAATCAGCTCCTACTGCAGGGGCAAGGGTTGGCAGCGCGCCCAGGACAGCCGGCATGAGGACTGCAAGCTGACGTGGTGTGAGCTCAAGTGCAGAGACAACTACTACCGCTTCCGGGAAGGTAGAGGGGAGGGGCCTCGGGCTCTGGCCTGCAGCCTGCAAGAGCCTCCTGGTCCCGAGCCAGGGGCCAAGTGGTGCCACTGCCCTCCATTCCGGGAGGTGGGGGCCAAGGCGGGAGGCTGCGGCGGCCTGGGCAGCCCGGGCCCTGCAGCACCACATGCCAGCCAGGACTCTGCCCCTGCCAGGCGAGCAGTTGTTGTACCAGATCCCCAACAACAAGCTCCTCACCACCAAGATCGGGCTGCTCAGTGCCCTGAGGGAGTACTCAAGGGTTGTGAACAAGATCCACAAGACATCACCATGTGCCCAGGCCAAGTAAGCCTGCCCCCGCCCCCCCGGGCCCCCACTGTCAACTCACCGCACACCTGTGTGTCCTTCAGAGCAATAGGACCCATCCACACACCCCATCCCCCCCATCCCACGAACCACCCCCCGCCCTCTTCTAGGCCCCACTCCCACCCAGCCAACGTGTCCATCGCTGGTCCTGACCACGCTCCCTGGAATCCATCCACTCACCACTCTGTCTGTTCGTCTCCATCCATGCACCCCAAACACCTGCCAACCAATCCATCCACCTACCCCCACGGACCACCCAGTGATCTATACATACACCCACTGTGGCCCACCCACCCACACCCATTCCCCAGACCCTCCCACACCACTCTCCTTCTGCTCCCCGTCCCCCACCCACCACACAGCTGTGCCTGAGCCACCAGGCATATTCATCCAACTACCTACCCATCTGCCTGTCCATCCAACCAATGTTAACCATCTGTCCCCCCCACCCACCCCCATCCACCCCCAACCAGGCAGGCAGCCCACCCACTCACCTGGCCATCCATGACATAACCTTTACATCTACATGTCCAGCCATCCACCGCCACCCTACGCATTTCAACAACTCTAACCCACTCCCTCCAAGCATCTATCCACTGGACCACCTGCCCATCCACCTACTTCCATCCAAAATCCATTTATCCAACCACCCACCTATCCACATCCCTACCTATTCACTTCTCCAAACACCCATCCATCCATTCTCCACCCACTACTGGGTGGCCACTCAGGCCAGGCGCTCCCTCTGGGGTACAGATCTAGAAAGGACACAGCATCTGCTCTTGAGGAGCTCACGTGGACCAGCCCAGGATGCCTCAGGCCACAGAGGTAGATGCATTCAGCCCAGCTGGAAAGAGCCATTCTGCCCTAAATTGAAGGATGGCCTGGTGGTCTATGAAAAGGGGTTAAAGGGCACCCCCAGGCCAGGGGAAGAGGTTTGGACTAGGCCGGGGTGTTCAGGGACCCATGCAGACCACTCACTGCATGCTGGACACTGTCCTGGCCTGGGGGCACAGCTCTGAACAGTCCACTCACAATGCCTGAGCCAGTGTGGGCTGGAGTGCAGTGGTGAGGTGGGAGAGGGGCCAGGGTGTGGGTGAGGCAGCCTGCAGCCTGTAGAGAAGCCAGGTGAGCAAGGACCCAGAAAAGAGTGCTCCTGGCAAGGGAACAGAACGTGCAGACGGAACAGCTGGGGTTGGGGGACAGAGGCAACCAGCTTTCCAGTGGACACTGTCCTCCAGCTGCCCCCAGGTCAGTCCCCTGGAAAGGCTGGCTGGCCTAGCCTTGGGGGAGGGGACAGCCCTCCCTGTGTCCTCCCCACCTCCCTGCTCCCCCAGGGTCCTGAAAATGGAAGAATTTTTCCCAGAGACCTACCGTCTGGACATCAGGGACGAGAGAGAGGCTTTCTTCACTCTCTTTGATGGTGAGAGGCCACTGGACGCCAGGCCTGCTCTGGGGAGATGGGTTCAGGGACGGACCAGGGACCCGGCACGATTAGGGCGGGGCCGGGCCCTGCGAGGTCGGGGGGGCGTGGTCATGGAGGGGACCGGTGGAGTCCGGTGGGCGATAGGTGGGAGGGTCAAGGCTGGGCCTTGTGGAAGCGGAGCCTGGCAGGGGGCGGGACCACGGCCGGGAGGGCGGTTGGGCCCTGGGCGTGGTCACTGCGGGGCGTGGCCAGGCCATGACTGGGCGTGGTCAGAATGGGGCGGGGCCAGCCAGAAGCTCAGGCGGCTCTTCCTACAGAAAATCAGATATGGATCTGCAAGCCCACGGCCTCCAACCAGGGCAAAGGCATCTTTCTGCTGAGGAACCAGGAGGAAGTCGCCGCCCTGAAAGTCAAGACCCAGAGCATTGAGGACGACCCCATCTACCGCAAGATGCCTTTCAGGGCGCCTCAGGCGCGGGTTGTGCAGAGGTGTTGGGCATGGGCACGGGGCGGCGTTCAGGGTGGGGCTGACCATGGGTCCCGCTGGTTCCTGGGAAAGCTGGTGGGGGTCACAGGGCCCATAGAGGAGTACTTGGTCATGGAAAGCTGTGGTGCCCTCAGCTGGGCCCCTGTGTACCCGGCAGAGGTGGGGTGTCACAACTTGTCAGGGTTGCAGAGGAGATGCCCCTCCCACACACACACACAGGCTCCTGGACATGGGGTAGGGACAGGGAAGCCTTGGTCAGTTTGTTCCCCAGCCTGGGCCCTGCCCCTCTGTCCTGTCCTGCAGGAAGGCCAGCCTCTCTGCCATCCCCAGCCCAGCCAGCCCCAGCCTTCAGGCCTGAAGCCAGAGCTAACCACCCCTCCCTTGCTCCCTCTGCCTCTGGACGGGGTCCAGACCCTCAGCCTCCCACCAGGAGGTGGAGGAGAGCAATCTGGTCTCCAGTAGGTCCCTTTGACCTCCCCATCTGCCAGTGTGATTTCTGCCACAGCTGCTGTCTGTGGCCCCTCCCCTCCCTTTGGCCCTCTGGGTCTTTAGACCTACAGCTCCTTCCACCTGGGATGTCTCCTCCTGGCCATCCACCCTAAGGCCCAGTGTCAGCCCTCCCTCCTCCAGGAAGTCCTCCCTGCCCACAGGGGCCCAATCTGCTCCCACCCTCAGGGATCCTAGTGAAAACTGCACTTTGGGGGTCACTCCAGACACGTGCAGTGGCCTGAGATTTAGGGGCCAGGCCCTCCTTCCCAATTCCCTGAACTGTTCAGGCTCAGAAATGTCCCTTCAGAAGAGAGAGCCCACAGATCCCTGGGACAAGTGGTGCTGAGGACCTGGTCTGGGCCCAGGTGGGGGCCAGGGGACACAGACTATGCTGGCCACGTGCTCAGCCCCCATGTGCCCCCAGGTACATCCAGAACCCCCTGCTACTGGATGGGAAGAAGTTTGATGTGCGCTCCTACCTGCTCATTGCCTGTGCCATGCCGTACATGGTCTTCTTTGGCCATGGCTATGCCCGCCTCACCCTCAGCCTTTATGACCCCCATTCCAGCGACCTCAGCAGCCACCTGACCAACCAGGTAAGGGTACCCCACAGATGAGGGCCTCTCTGCAGCCTTGGGACAAGATCATTGCTTGGAACACAGAGGGGAGTTAAGCTACAAACTGAAGCTCAGGCCCAGAGGTGGCCCAGGCCGGGAGGTGGCCCACTCTCTTTGATGGTGAGAGGCCACTGGACGCCAGGCCCGCTCTGGGGAGATGGGTTCAGGGACGGACCAAGGACAGGGCACGATTAGGACGGGCCGGGCCCTGCGAGGGGGCGTGGTCATGGTGGGGATGGGTGGAGCCCGGTGGGTGATGGATGGAGGGCCAATGCTGGGCCTTTTGGAGGCGGAGCCTGGTAGGGGGTGAGCCGAGGGCCAGGTGGTTAAGTAGGAAATGAGCGGGGCGGGGTCTGTGAGGACCTCAGTGGAGAGACCCTGTGCGCAGAGGTCTCTGAAAGGGTCTTAATGAGAAGGATCTATGTGGGGGCCGGCCTTCACGAGGATCTGTGGGACACTTGATGTTTGAGAGGGTCTCAGCAGACAGGGTCACTGCAGGGCGTCCTGGGATGAGCAGGGCCTCTGGGACTTGCGGGGTAGCTGGGGTAGCGGGGGGGGGGGGGGGGGGGGGGGCGAGGGGGAGTGGGGGCTCTCTGTGGGGGCCCTCAGCAGGGGCAGAGCCTCTGGGTGTCCTGGAGTGGTGGTCTCCAGGTGCCGCACTGCCTCCTAGTTCATGCAGAAGAAGAGCCCCCTGTACGTGCTGCTCAAGGAGGACACAGTGTGGAGCATGGACCGCCTCAACCGCCACATCAACGACAAATTCAGGAAGACCAAGGGGCTCCCCAGAGACTGGGTCTTCACCACCTTCACGGTCCGTGTGCTCCTCCCTAACACCAGCCTGTGGGGAGGGGGCTAAGGGTCAAGACCCTTTATAGTGGGGGGACGGGGTGGGGGCGGGTGCTGGGCACGAGGTGCTCACCCGTTCCTGGGGGTTGTATCTGTACTAAAGTGTGTGTCAAGTGTGTGTGCATGTAAGCAGTGAGTGTGGCAGCTGGCCACTTGGGGGCTCTCTCATTACCCCCTCCCTCCCTCCCTCCCCCTCTCCCCTCCCTCTCTCCTTCCCTCTCTCTCCTTCCTTTTTTCCCTCCCTCTCTTCCTCCCTCCCTCCCACTCTCCCTCTCCCCTCCCTCTCTCTCTCCTCCCTCTCTCCCTCCCTCCCTCTCCTTCCCTCCCTCCCACTCTCCCTCTCCCTCCCCCTCCCTCTCTCCCTCCCTCCTCTTCCCTCCCTCCCTCTTCTTCCTCCCTCCCACTCTCCCTCTCCCTCCCTCTCTCCTTTACTCTCTCCCTCCCCCTCCCTCTCTCCCTCCCTCCCTCTCCCTCCCCCTCCTTCCCCCTCCCTCCCTCCCTCTCTCCCTCCTTCCCACTCCCTCCCTCTCCCTCCCTCCCTTCTCTTCCTCCTTCCCTTTCCCTCTCCCTCCCTCCCTCTCTCACTCTTGATAATTCACATGATACGAAGTTCACCATTTTAAAGTGTACAGTTCAGGGGGGTTTAGTATATTCACAAAGTTGTGCAATGATCACCACCTGGTTCCTCAAACAGAAACAGCCACACCCATCATCAGTCACTCCCCATCACCTCTCCCCAGCTCCTGGTGACCACTCCTGTCCCTACCGATTGCCCTATTCTGGACATTTCATAATAATGGAATCATACCATATGTGGCCTTTCCTGCATGTGACCGTACTTCATTCCTTTCTGTGACTCAATAATATCTCATTGTAGGGATATACGATTTCTTTGGATAAACATTTGTCACCTGATGGACATGGGTTATTCCCACTTTTTGTCTGTTATGAGTAATGCTGCTGTGAATACTCACATGCAAGTTTTTGCATGAACATATTTTCAGTTCTCTTGGGTATATAGCTAGGAATGCCATTGTGAGGTCATGTGGTAACTTATGTTGAACTTGTTGAGGAACTGCCAAACTGTTTTCCACAGGGGCTGCAATATTCCACATTCCCACCAGCAATGTAGAAGGGTCCAATTTCTCCATATTCTCACAAACACTTGTTATTTGTCTTTCTTTCTTTTCTTTCCTTTCTTTCTTTCTTTCTTTCTTTCTTTCTTTCTTTCTTTCTTTCTTTCTTTCTTTCTTTCTTTCTTTCTTTCTTTCTTTTCTTTCTTTCTTTCTTTCTTTCTTTCTTTCTTTCTTTCTTTCTTTCTTTCTTTCTTTCTTTCTTTCTTTCTTTCTTTCTTTCTTTCTTTCTTTCTTTCTTTCTTTCTTTCTTTCTTTCTTTTGTCACCCAGTGGGCGTGAAGTGGTATCTCATTGTGGTTTTGATTTACATTTCCCTAATGGCGAATAATGTTGAGCATCTTCTCACGTGCTTATTGGCCATTTGTAGGTCTGTTTAAGAGCTTTTTACATATTCTGGATACTAGACCCTTATCAAATATGTGATTTGCACATATTTTCCTCCATTCTGTGAGTTGTCTTTTCACTTTTTGATAATGTCCTTTTTCTTGCACAAAAGTTTTCGATTTTGAGGAAATCCAATTCATCTAATTCATATCTAAGAATCCATTGCCAAATCCAAAGTCATAGAGATTTGTACCTGTGTTTTCTTCTAAGTTTTATCACTTTAGCTCTTACAGCTAGGTCATTGCTCCATTTTGAGTTAATTTTTGTATATGGTGGGAGGGGTTCAGCTTTATTCTTTTGTGTGTGGATGTCCAGCTTTCCCAGCACCACTTGTCAAAGAGACTGTTCTTGGCACACTGTTGACAATCAATTGGTCAGATATGTCTGGGTTTCTCTAGAATTCCTATCAATCATATTCCACTGATGCGTGTGCTGGTGTACTATTTTGAGAGTTATTGCTTCCTTCATTCTATGAATGTGCTGTATTATTTTGACTGATTTTCATGTATAGAATCACTCTGCATTTCTGGCATAAGTCACACTCAACGTGATTTATTAACCTTTAAATATGCTGCTAGAGTTAGCTTGCTAGTACTTCAATGAGTATTTTTGTGTCTGCACACATAAGCACACATAAGCACTCTCTTGCATGCTTGGGATGTGTTTCTTTCTCTTCCATTTTTGGAAAGTTTGTGAAGAGTTAGTGTTAATTCTTCAAATGTTTGGAAGAATTCACCAGTGAAGCCATCCAATCCTGGGCTTTTCTTTGTGGAAAGGTTTTTTTTTATGACTAACTCAACTTTTACTTGTTACAGGTTATTCAGATTTTCTATTTCTTATTGGGTCAAGCTGTTAGTTTGTCCATTTCTTTCAAGTCGTCTAATTTGATCGGAATACAACTGTTCATAGTGTTCTATGAATAATTATAATTCTTTTTATGATTCTTTTCTCTCTATGTAAGGTCTTTCTTGATTTCTTGAGTCTTCTCTCCATCTTCTTGGTCAATCTAGCTAAGAGTTTGTCCATTTTGTCAATCTTTTCAATGAACCAGCTTTTGGTTTCATTTATTTTCTCTATTGTTTTTCTATTCTCTATTCCATTTATAGCCATTACTTTCCTTCCTTCTGCTTGCTTTGGATTTTCTCTTCTTTTTCTAGTTTATTAGGGTTAAAGGCTAGGTTATCCATTTGAGATCTCTCTTCTTGTTTTTTATAGGTGTTTACAGCCATAAATTTCCCCCTAAGCACTGATTTTACTGCGTTGCATAAGATTTTGTATGTTCTACTTTCATTTCATTTGTTGCTAAAGAGTGTGCTATTTAATTTCCAAAGACTTGTGAATTTTCCAATTTTCCTTCTCTTGTTGATTTTTAATTTCATTCCATTGTGGTCAGAGAATATACTTTGTATGTTTTGAACTCTTTCATAATTATTGAAACTTGCTTTATGTCCTAACATTTTGTCTATCCTGGAGAATATCCCATGTGTACTTGAGAGGAATATATATTCTGCTATTGTGGTTGTTCTGTGGATGTCTGTTAGATCTGCTTGGTTTATAGTGTTGTTTGAGTCTTCCCTTTACTTGTTGATCTTTGGTCTAAATATTCTATCCAGCACTGAAAGTGTGATATTGAAGTCCCCAACTATTATTATTGAATTGTCTGTTTTGCCCTTCAATTCTGTTTTTGCTTCATGTATATTGAGGCTCTGTTGTTAGGTGCACATATGTTTACAGTTCTTACATCTTCTGGATCTATTATTATACAATGTCCTTTTCTTTCTCTAGTAACAATTTTTGTCTTAAAATCTATTTTCTTATTTTGTCTTAAAATCTATATCAGTTTAGGGCGCCTGGGTGGCTCAGTCGGTTAAGCGACTGCCTTCGGCTCAGGTCACGATCCTGGAGTCCCGGGATCGAGTCCCGCATCGGGCTCCCTGCTCAGCAGGGGGTCTGCTTCTCCCTCTCCCGCTCTTCCTGCTTGTGTTCCCTCTCTCGCTGTGTCTCTCTCTGTCAAATAAATAAAAAATCTTAAAAATATATATATTTTTAAAAAATCTATATCAGTTTAGCCACTCCAGTTCTCTTTTGATACTGTTTGTATGATATACCTCTTTCCATCCTTTCACTATCAACCTGTGTCTTTGAATCTAAAGTGAATCTTTTACAGATAAGATATCAAGGGTTGTGTTTTTTTATGCATTCTGCCAATCTCTGTTGTTTAATTGGAAAGTTTAATCCATTTACATTTGATATAATTACTGGAAGGTAGGACTTACATATTCTATTTTTCCATTTGTTTTCTACATGTCGTATCTTTTTTGCTTCTCAATTCTTTCATTACTCCCTCCTTTTGTATTAAATACATATTTCCTAGTGTACCATATCTAGTGTCATTTCTTTTATTATATGTTTTTTAATTATTTTTTTTTTTTTTTTGGCTGTTGCCCTGAGGATTGCCATTAACCTCTTAATTTATAACAATTTAGTTTGGATTAATACCAAGTTAATTTCAAAAGTATTAAAAAAACACAAAAACCCTTGTTCCTATATAGTTCTTTCCCTCCCTTTATGCTGTTATTGTCACAAATTACAGCTCTATACATTGTGTGCCCATCGATATTGATTTAAAATTTTTGTTTTATTTAGTTTTTTAAATAAAAGACAAAAAGAAATTACCAAAAAATTCCTTTATATGACTTTTAAATTTAACTATGTAGCTACCTTTATGAGTGCTCTTTATTTCTTCACATGAATTCAACTTATTGTCTAGTGCCCTTTCATTTCAGCCTGAAGGACGCTAGGGCAGTTCTATTAGTGATAACCTGTGGTTTTTAAAATCTGGGAATGTCTTGATTTCTCCTTCATTTCTGAAGAATAGTTTTGCCAGATATAGAATTCTTGGTTGACAGTTTTTCCTTTCAGCATTTGAGTGTCATCCCACTGTCTTCTGGAATCCATGGTTTCTGATGAGAAGTTGGCTGTGAATCCTATCAAGGACCCCTTATGATTTATCACTTCTCTCTTGATTTCAACATTCTCTCTTTGTCTTTTGAAAGTTTGCTTAAGGTATGGTCAATCTCTTTGAATTTATCCTAATTGGAGCTCACTGATCTTCTTGGGTGTGTAGACTTCTTTTTTTTAAAATCAAATTTGGGAAGTTTTCTACCATTATTTCTTCAACTAGTCTTCCTGCCTCTTACTCCCTTCTCCTGGGACTCCCGTTATGTATGTTGGTCTGCTTGATGGTGTCTCACAAGTCTCTGTAGCTTTGTTTATTTTTCTTCATTCCCTTTTTTCTGTTCCTCAGACTGGATAATCTTAATTGACCTATCTTCAAACAACTGTTTATCTCCTCTAGTGAATTTTATTTTTTATTTACTATACTTTTCAAATCCAGAATTTCTATGTGGTTTCCTTTTATAATATCTGTCTCTTCACTCACTGATATTCTCTATTTGGTAAGATATCATTCTCATATTTTCTTTTAGTTCTTTTCAAGTGAGGTCTTCTGGGGGGCTAGCATAGAGTCACAACAAATAGCTACAATTCTTTGCAAGTCAAGTCCATTCTATCTCCAGTACTGAGAATGTAGACTTTTTTCAAGCCTAGCAGTAAGCTGGGAGGTAGGGATAAAGCTAGGGCAAGTTAAAATGCTACAAAGCTTGCTCTTCTTACCAAGATTCAAGATTTTTCTTTCATAAGCACTTCTCAGGTTGCTGAAAGCCTTTGGTTAGTTTCCAGAGTTCTGAAAAAGTTGATTCTGCTTATTTTTGCCAGGTTGGGGGGGGGGGCTTTTATGGAGTGACTTATTTTCAGGTGTCCTTTCTCTGCCATTCTGCTGAACCCTTGAACCCACTCCAGTGAGCCTTCTTCTGCCACTGAGACACTCATTGAGGTCACCAGTGACCTCTGTGTTGCCAAACCCAGGGGTCAGTTCCCAGTCCTCTTTTTCCCTGATCTGTCAGCCAGTTTGGACCAACTGTTCATTCCCTGGTGTTCTTTCCTTATGGCTTCCAGGACCTTGCCCATTCCCTCTTGGCCTGCTGTTCTGGCCCCCCATGTCCCAACTACTGCTCTCTGGAAGCCCAGGGCTCTGCTCTTTATCTGCACCCATTGGTAATGAAAGTCCTCTGGCTCCACAATTAAACCTCTGGCCCTGACCTCTCTCCTGAACTTGAGCCTTATATCCCAGAGCCTATCAACACCCCATCTGCAAGCTCTTAAACATCTCAGACTCCATGGTTCTCCTCCTCTTCTCAGTTGATGGGGGCTTCATCCTTCCAGATTCTCAGACCAAGCACTTAAAGATAACTCTTTCCCTAGCTCATAACCCATTCATAAACCAATCAGGTTAGCTCTACCTCAAAATATATTCAGAATCCAGCCCACTACCTCTAGCATCTGAATTATTGCAACAACTTCCTCATAGCCCCTCCATTTCTCTCAGCATACAGCCAGTCGACCCTATTAGGCATGAATTAGTTATACCCCTCCTGTGCTCCACCTTCCAACAGCTCTGATATCAGCATGAAAGGCAAGGTGCTTCCCATGCCCCCATGACATGACTGGCACCACTCTGGACTCATTTCCTACTGCCCCTCCAGTTTGCTCCAGCCACAACAGCCTCACTCTGTTCCCCCAACACCTTGGGCATGCTCGCACTTACAGCTGTTGCTCTTCCCCCAAATTTCCCATGCCCTATCCCACAGACCTTCCATTCAATTTTCAGTCTGCTCACTATTTCCTCAATGAGGCCCAACACCCCATACCCCTTTTTGCAACAACTACCCTAGAACCCCCCAACCCCTAACCCTGCTTCATTTTCTTCATCAGCACTTATTGCCTGATATGCTGCCCAAAATATACAGTGATTTACATGTCACATTTGTTTTCTATCTCTCCTGCTCTGAGTGAGATGCTCAAAGTTCTCTTCACTCTTGAACTCCAGTACCTGCCATGAAGGAGAAGCTTCCCGTGTTTGCTGAAGGAATAAAACAAGAGTGAATGAGTTTCTAGCTGTGAGCCTGTGACTCAGTGTGAAAGTGTGAGCAGGTGTAGCTATGCAGGTGAGGGAATAGGAGAGAGCAGGTGAGGACACAGTTGGGAGTGCTGGTGAGGGGTGTGGCTGTGGCTGCTCAGGCCTGGGAGGTGTAATCAGGGGGTGACATCCAGTCACCCCCTCCCTGCCCCACCCACAGAAGCGGATGCAGCAAATCATGGCCCACTGCTTCCAGGCTGTCAAGTCCAAGCTCCACTGCAAGCTGGGCTACTTTGACCTCATTGGCTGTGACTTCTTGATTGATGAGAACTTCAAGGTACTGTTGAGGTTTCCTGGGGCAGGTGGGGTTTGGTAGGCAGGTGCAAGGAGACAGGGGCCATGTGTGCATATCCTGACCACTCAGGCAAGCCCATGGGGTGGAGTCTACAGTCAGACTCCCACACCCCCTGCCAAGCTCCTGCAGCTGGAGCAGCGCCCCCCAAGGCCAGACCCTCAGAGCCTTAGCCCCTTGGGCAAATAGGAGGAGTGAGGCCACAGAAAAGAAGGGACTGCCCAGGATCACTCGACTTAATGGGGACCAGGGCCTCAGCCTCCTGTTGGCCAGGTGATGTGTGGGGACCATGCTAACCAGTGTTGGGCCCAGGTGTGGCTGCTGGAGATGAACTCCAACCCTGCCCTGCACACCAACTGTGAAGTCCTGAAGGAGGTGATTCCAGGCGTGGTCATGGAGACCCTGGGTGAGGCCCTTGTGCAGCCCCCAGAACCCTCAAACTGGCCCCTCGCTGCTTGCCCAGGCTTGCATGTGCCACCCCACCCTCGCCCCAAATTCAGACGCCTACAAACTTAGTTCTCCAACATCCAGAGGGCCTACGTGGAAACCCCACCCTCTGCTCAGGCCCTGCAGAAGAAAGGCGTCCCTGCCCAACCTCCCCACTAACTTGGTGCGGGCCACCTCATCCTCACCTGGGTCCCGCCTCTCAGCACTCCCTCACCTCCTCCTCTGTCCTCAGAACCTCCACCCCAGCCCCGCAACCATGATGCTGGGGAGGCTGAGTCCCTGCCCCTCCCATGTCCCCCCAACCAACTCACCCCCTCCCACGCCTCCCCAGACCTGGCAATCGAGACCTTTCAGAAGAGCTTGCGCAACCAGAAGATGCTGCCTCTGCGGTCACAGCGCCGCTTCGTGCTCCTGCACAACGGCGAGGCGGACCTGTGGCCGCGCTTAGGGGGCTCCCGCAGCGCCCTCCGCCCGCCGGTGCCCCCGCCCCGGCCCGCGTGCGAGGCCGACTGCTCCGCGCCACCTCTGCTCAGCGCAGCCGACGGGCCGGGCGCGCGCAGGCCCGCGCTACCCCGGAGCCCCGGGGGCGCGCACGGGCGGCCACCCTCGGCGCAGAGACGGCCCCGACCGCCCGGCCCTGGCCCCGACGGCGCCCAGAGCCGGCAGCCCGGGGCCGACCGGCCGCGAACGGGCGCTGGGGAGCCGGCGCGAGAGCCCTCCCCGGGTCTGGCAGAGGAGGAGCGCGAGGAGCGCAAGAACGCGGGTCACCGCGGCTCCTAGCGGGCGGGCCACCAGCGCCCTCTCGGGACCTATAAAGGCTACTTTGTTACAAACGGCCTCTGCTGCGAATCAGGTGGCCCGCAGCCCCTGGATGCCCCAGGCTTCCCCACGCTCGCTCCCCAAGACGCTCCCATGGGGGCTTCCCTGGACCCAACGCCCTTCCCTCTGCCCCACAAGTCCCTACTCCATTGCTGGGACCAGTCCTTGGCGGCTGGGGTGGGGGCCCTGGGGGAGGGGGCTGGGAAGTCTGTCCTACTAGAAGGAGATGAGCTCCCCACAGCCTCCTACTTGGCCCTCATAGGGCTGCCTCTGTCATGGGGAAGCCCACCAGTTCCTGGGCTCCTGCTTATCACCTTGTGTCTCTCATTGACCAGGACCCTACTTGACCCCTACTGCCTGACTCTCTGATCCCCAGGAAAGGGCCTGGGTCCCCATGGAAAGGAGGACTCGCTCACACCCAACCCTGGTGCTGCCCTCACCCTGCCCGGGCACAGCCCCTTTCTGGGCCTTCAGAGCACCTGGGCTCTGCACTCCCCTCTGCTTCCCGGGGCCCCTGATGATCCCATAGGCCCGGCACTGCGGAAGCCCAGAGGACCTAGGCCGTGGGTGAGGGGCACGTGGCCATGGCAGGACAGCCCCGAGGGAGGCCCTACCCTGGCCAGTCCATGCGTGGTTTCAGGTGTTCCCATTCCTCGTGGGCCCAGCCCTGAGGATGCAGAGAGATTCAGGGCCTCTGACGTGTCCAGGTCCCCTGCTACCACTAAGTGTCCAGAGCCAGCCATAATCCCCTCTCCCCTGGCCCCCCCCCAGCCACCTGTACCCATCCCAGTCCAGATCCCAGGGTCCAGGCAGGCAGCCCAACCCCCAGCTACCACCCCATCCCACCCCCCACCCCCCCACCAGCTTGCACACCTCCTCATCTGTTCCCTCTCACACACCCTGCCCTCATCTCAGCAAATAGTTACCACCAAGTCACCAATGCTCTCCTCCTGACCGGCTGGAACCCACTCTCTGTTCTACACTGGAGTGCAGGCAGGACCTGGGGTCCACAGGGGTCTGCTGTCCAGCCACAGCTCTGCTGGGAATGCAGCTCCGTTCCCAGGGAAGCAAAAGCCACAGCACCACTAGAGGGCACCGTGTACCACTGTGTCTCAGGCGGGGGCGCCAAGAAAAGCCCCCAGGCCTGGGGCCAGGGACTGACCTATCCAGTCACTCACAGACCACCCGCCCGACCCCTGCCACCCCGACGCACTTTGTTGCACCCCTGCATCATCTTGCTGCTGTGGCCTAGGATATGGGGTCCCCAGACCAAAGTCAAGAAGCACAAACTTATCACCATAGGCCTGGGGGCCAGGAACCCTCAGCCCCTCCCAGCATGTCTGGTGGTCAACCCTTGAGACCGGCCAAGCTCAGCCATTGCCTGCTGTGCAGCTGGGTCTGTTGGCTCTGTGCTCAAAAGACCGGGGAGGGAAGAAGACCAGCCTCCATGGGGGTGAAGTGCAGTGGCCTCCTGGGCAAGCTGAGTGCCCCCAGGTCTTTGTAAAATACACTGCATCCTTGGGGTCAAGCATCCAGGCCACTCCACGCTTCCTGACACCCCCCTGGGGCATCTGTACCCCACGTCCCAGCTCACAGGCCTCTCCCACGCCCTTCCTGACATCCCATCTGTCCTGCAAGCCCTGCCCACTGGGCCAACTGCGCTACACAGTGTCGGGGTTCTTGATGGGGCCCAGATGGTGCATTCCAGCTCTCCTTCCCTACCAATGTCAACATGGCGCTCAGAGTGACCTGAGGCCTCGGTGACAGGCTTGCTTTCCCCGATGAGTGGGTGCAATGTAAAGAGGAGTGTATGTTGGTGGAACAGCCTGCCCTGCCCTCCTGGGGCTCCCCAAAGGCCTGTCTGTTGCTCTTGGGTCCCTGGCACTCCCTTGAGAGCCCATATGTCAACAAATGAAGTTTCCCAAGAACCACTGCTGTTTGTCCAAACCCCAGAAGTGATGGCCACACCCCTGCCCCCATCTGGAACCTCCCCTGGCCCCACCCAGCTCGCATTTGGCCCTGCTGTGCCCTTGCCAGCTGGAACTGTAAGGACCCCCAGGGAAAGGAAGGCCAGAGGTGGAGTTCGGGGTGCTGTGGGACACCTGAGCATCTGGAGGTACGAGGTGGATCCCAGTATTCAGACGACATGATGGGCAGCAGGCACCGAAGAGGGGGTCGGGGGTCCTGCAGGGGCCCGAGGAGCCTGCCTCAGCAGCAGGGGAGGGACGGCTTCCCGAGTGCCTGGGACCGGCCTGGTGGCACTGTGGCTAGAGTTTGTCATTGGAGGGGAATGTGGGCTCCTGAAAGCTGGGTGTCTCTCTCTCCCCTACTCCATCCTCCCTCACACCCCTACCTCCCCCCACACACTCCCTCCCTCCCTCTCCCTTACTCTCCCTCCAGGGGTGAGTCCTGGGGTCCTGCTGGTGGGTGGGGAACTCAAGCAGTGCCTTCTGCTCTCACCCAGGGACCCCCACCATCCCCATAGCCTCCACCTAGAGGACCGCCCAGCACAGGCCCTCCCCCTGGCACCCACTGGGACTTCCTTCCGCCCCTGGCAGACACAGCACAGGGTCTGCTGACCACCTCCCAGCAGCCATGGGTCTGTTTCAGCCAAAGATCCCACGGAGCCCCAAGGACCCCGAGGATATCCCCCCACATACATCCCGAAGCTGTCTCCTGTGGAGAGTGTGTGTCTGAGAAAGGGGTCTGGAGCAGCCCTGGCTGAATCGGCATCTCTGGAAAGCACCTCAGCTCCCAAAGCTTCCTGGAAACATGAGCCAGGTGGGGGCGGAGGCGGCTGTCTCTCCACCCCAGCACAGTCTCTTACTGAAACACAGGGTAGCACCCCCGGGAGCCAGTCCTTTTCTGACCTCAGAGCCCAGCCCCAAGCAGGAAGAGTGGCTTTCTCATGAATGCTCAGGAAACCACGAGGTGGGGGGCAGGGTGGCCAAGAGTGATGGCCCCACATCCTGGTCAAAGCCCCTGCGTGGCCGGGCCTGGCATCATGGACCTATTTTATCAATGGTGCACATCCCAGCACCTGGGGGTAGTGGGAGACCACCTGCCTCAGGACAGCTCCCTGTAGTGCCCCAGGCCTGGGGCTGAGAGGGGTCAGTGTCCAGTTCTAGCTCTGATGGGTCTCCACCTCTGTCCTGCTAAGGGATTCCCACACTGGCTGAGTCCAGATCTCAGTAAAAAGGACCTTTTCCAGCAAGGGGAGGGGAGGGGCCTGGGTGGGGAGCTGCTGTGGCCTGAAGCTCTTCTGGGAACCAAGGGCGGCCTTCAGGCCCTTATCTGAGACTCATACCCCACAGAAAGGAACTGTGGTTTTCCAGAACAGCTGACTAGTCGGTCCTGTGGGGTGGGGTTTTCAGGGGAAGCAGTGCGGGGTCTGGAGCTGGCCTGGGCAGAGTCTCACGATGGGGTCTCTCTCAGGGCTCAGTGACCCAGGAGGACAGGTGGTCTGCCAGGCTCTGCTGGTGGGCACATACCTGCCTCCACCCCAGGAAGCTGGGCTGAGTAGGAGGGGGACAGAAGCCTCTCAACAGCCCCTTACCTCAGCACTAGCCCCCCACCCTTTCCCCACACTGCCCTGGGCACTGCCCCCCTCCATTGCCCATCCACAGTTCTGTCCCCCAGAACTTGGATTTGCTCAGGCCTCACCTACCTAAAACCCCTGGTGGTAGCCCCTGCCTGCCCATGCCCTGGGGTCTCCACCTGACTCTCCAGCCCCTGTGCCCCCAGGGCCCTGCGCAGACTCTTTTCACCTAAGAGTTGTCCTATAAATCAGAGAGACCCAGCCCCTCCACATGCTCCCTCCCTGTTCTATGTCTTGGGAGCTGGGGTGCCTCAGGGCCAGGCCAAGCTTGCAAATCATGGGGTTCTGGGGGCTCCGAGGAGGGAGGGGAGCAGGGGTGGGCAGATGGAGCTGGGTTGAAGGACAGGGGGCATCTCTGCGAGGGGCAGTGGGGGAGGGGTAGAGAGAAGGGGGCCGATCCAGCACCAACAAGGGTTCCCCTGAGCCCTCCCAAAACCCTGAGATCTTCAGGGCCAGACCCCTCCTGCCCCGCCCACCAAGCCAGGCCTCACTCTCCACCCTCTTTTGCTGCTGCCTGAATCCAGCCTCCACCCCATCCTCCACCTGGGCCTTGGAATCTCCCACCCTGCTCTGTGCCGCCCTCGCGCTGACGTCGGGGCGCTGTCACCCCACATGGGGCCCCCCCATGGGGAGTTTCCATGCTGAGTCAGCCGACAGAGAGGTCCCTCAGGACTTGGGTGTGTGCAGGCCAGAGTGGTTTCTCAGGAAGATCTGTGACTGCAGACGACCTGACTTCACCCCCCCACCACCACCACCCCCGAGACAGCTGAGCCAGGGTTGGGGAGCCCTTTGCCCCAGGGCAGACTGGGGAAGCACCTGTGGAGGGTCCAGGACAGCCCTGAGCATCCCATGGGCGTGGGGCTGTCAAGTGACCAGGGTGGCAAGAGTAAGACCGGAGGAGAGCTGGCTTCCCGAAGCAAGGGGAACAAGGGGTTGACAGGCAGGAGACGTGGCCTGGAGACAGAAGAGGGGCCGGGGGTGTGGCCAGCAAGTCCCAGAGAAGTCTGCTGGGGGGTCTCCCGGAACACAGCATGGTATCTCCCACTGTCCCCTGACATCCAGCCAGTCCACCTGTATTTTCTCATTTATTAGCTAATTCACCTGGATCCTCACCCGGAATTCGGGCTCTGTGGGAGTGCCCGGAGCCTAGGATCCAGCAGGCGCGGAGAGGATGAGTGTTCCCCACGTGAGGAAAATCATGAAGGAGCTGTCAACCCCCTCCTTCCAGGGGTGAAGTGGCTGCACCAAGCCGAGGTGGGGAGGGGGTGGGGGTGATGCCCCTGTTCACGACACATGCAGATCTCTCCACCACCTCCTTGCGGCCCATCGGGACTGAGTGGGGGTGAGGGCCAGTGAGCCAAGGGGCTCTCCTGGGCGGCATGCAGGTAGGAGGGGGGGCGTGGGGGACCTGGAGCACGGGGACTGTGGGCACGTGCCCAGATGTGCTGGCACCTGACGGGCCTACTGTCGAGACCTGCCTCCACGGGCCTGCCTGCCACACCCTGGACAGCCGTGCCAAGGAGTCCTTATCAAAGGGAGTCCCGCCGGGAGGCGGGGAGAACACTGCTCGCCCCCAACAGGCAGGCGAGAGCCTAGAACCATGCCCCGAGGGAGAGGGAACCTGGGAGGTGCCGGAGGCAAGCAGCAGGGCTTGCCGAGAGGGTGGGGGCCAAAGGCAGGCCACTCAGAGGCTGCCCTCCTGACCAGGAAGAGTTGCGTGTAGAAAGTGACTCGCCCTGGACTTGGGGCCGGAATGACACAGGACAGGCACCCCCAGGAGCCAGCAGGCTGTGCGACCAGCACAGAACCCAGAGTCCGAAGCAGCAGGGGTCCAGAGACTGGACACAGAATCCAGCTGTCTCAGAGTGCCAAGCAGACTGCCAGGGCAGGGGGTTCGGACAGGGCCACAAAAGGGCACACAGGACAAGTGTCCATCATGGTGCCCTTCCTCCAGGAAGCCTTCCAAGTCCCATGGTCCCTGCTAAGTGCTTGTGCCCAGGACTGGAATGGCCCTGATTTCTGCCCCACCCCCAGACCCACCTAGGCTGGAAGGAGACTGGGGCTACTGGCGGGCGGTGGGGGCTTGTCTCTCTGTTCTCCCACCCCAGAACACGTCCACTCAGGTCACTGGACAAGTGTTTATTGCGCACTGCCTGCAGCCAAGTCCCGCACTGGGCACAGCCTCCTGTCCTGGGAGCCAGGGGCCCATAGACGCCCCCCAGCAACAGGGCCAGCGAGGGAGGGAAGCAGCCATGGCTGTGGCTTTATCTCCCATGGGGTCTGGCCAGAGCCGCTGCCTCTTCTGGATGGTCTGGGGGACTGGCCACTGTCACCATCCCCCACCCACTTCCGCCATCGAGGGGAGCAGGGCCGGGCCCAGAGCTGGGGCCCCCCCGGCAGGGTGCAGAGCCCTTGTTCCCGAGGGTCAGCCCTGGGACGCTTCCCGGGAGGGTCTGGCTCTGGGTCTGCGGCAGAGGACAGCCCAGCCTCACACCCACAGGCCCCTCAGCTGGCCCTTGTCCTCCGACAGCTGCTCGCCCCGCTCCTCCTCGGGGAACTGGCAGCTGCAGGCATCCTCGGCTGGCGGCCGTGCCTCCAGGGGCAGCTGGGTCTCTGCAGAGGGGCTTCAGTCAATGGGCAGGCCAAGGGCCTACCTCTCCCACCCCGGGGGGCACAACTGACCTGGGGGCCACACGGGTTGCCTCCTCAGCTGCCAGATGTGCAGGCCAAGCTGGGCTGCGCTCAGGACCAGGATGCAGGCGGCCACAGTGAGGAGGACGATGGTCAGCGGGCCGTGCGGCTCGGCAGGCGGCAGCCCCAGGCTACATACGGCATTGTGTGTCTTGTTCCCGGGGAACATGGTGGGATACCCAAACTGGGAGCAGCTGGGACACACGGACACAGAGCCCTCGGTCAGCCCTCGGCCACCCGAGCAACCCTTGCGCAGGGCTGCCATCCTCTGAGTTGTGTGTGGGTCACCGCACCAGGAAGAACAGGAGAGGCCCCTCCCTCAGGAACCAGCCGGCCACCTGAGGGTCCCAACAGGACTCACTCTGACCAGGGTTTGCAGCGGCCCTCCTGGCCTCCAGAGAAGGTCCCTGTGGCACAGTCGACACACTCAAAGCCGAAATTGAAATTCCCTGGAGACAGACAGACAGCCAGGGTTTGCTGGGGTAGATGAGAGGGAATCCATCTGGGGCCTGGGTCCACAGCAGAATGACTCCCACACACCTTATCCATTGGACAGAGGTCTCTGATGCCTGCAAGACTGGGACCTGGCCAGAATCAGTGCCCAGGTGTGCCCCATTCCAGGGCAGGCATCTGTCGGGGAGGCAGACTTGGGGGGACCCTGAGCTGAGTGGAGGTTCCTGGGGAATCTGGGAGAGGAGAGCTGTGTGGCACATGGCCAGAGGGGAGTGCAGGGGCCTGTCCACTGGAGGCCGGAGGGTAAGGGAGCCCAGAAGGGGTGGAAGTAGAAACCAGGCTAAGAATCAGGCCAGGCCTTATGCTTGGTCCAGTAGCCTGGAGGGCAAGAGGTCAGTGAGGGTCCCAGAGAGAGGAGGTGAGGCTTGTACCCCAGCTGACCCTAGACCCTGTCCTACCCAACCTCCCAATGCCCCTCTGGCTACACTGTGTCCATCCCATCAGGTAAACAGGCCCCAAGAGGATCTGAGCTGCTCCTTCAGGAAAAGGTTGACCCCCAGACAGGGCAACAGGGGGCAGGCCTAGCTTTGACAGGACTGTCCCCATGCCGATGCTCAGGGTACGTGGAGGACTGGGGCATCATCAGAGCCAGGGCCTGAGGGCTAGACAGCCCCTGGACACCCCCACTACTCCCCACAACCAGCCCTGAGGAGTACCCTCGAGCTGGAAGGAGAAACCCAGGTGAAGAGAGGGAAGGACTCCCCAAAGCTGCCCGGGTGCTAGGACTCACATCTGAGCTATGGCAACAAGCAGCAAACGGCCCCACCCACCTGGGCCTTGCAGGACCCGAGACGCCAGTGCCTGCTTGCCCAGAGAACCTGCATGTACCCTCCACACACAAGCACTTCCCTCCACCCTCATGGCACTGGCTACGCACCGGGTCCCATGAGCTCTGGCTCAGCCCTGGTCAAACCCATGGACCCGCTCAGGCCGGTGACTTACCATGAGGCCGCACCTCCTGGCCCGGCGGGCAAATGTGGTGCTTGCAGGTCTTGCACTGGGGGTCTCCACAGTGGTACCCTGGCTCAACACACGTGCAGTCCCCCTCAGGACAAGCCTCAGCTGAGCAAGAGAAAAGCCAGCCCTCTCAGCAGCTGAGCCAAGCCCCTCCCTCCTCAGGACTCCCCCCACCCCCCGCCCCGGGGCCCTCCAGAGGGAATGGGGTGATATAGGGAAAGGCAGTCCCTACATCCACCCTCAGGCAGCCCCAGGGGGCAGAGGGCACCTGTCTGGGAGCCAGGACCCCGGTGGGGTCCAGCTGTCTCCCTCCCTCCTAGGCACCTAGCTCCTCCATCATGTGGCCTGGCTGTGTCCCCCACTGCCCTGAAGCTGCTCCCACCCAGGGTGGTTGTGACTTGGCATGTCACCAGAACACATCCCTGATGGACAAGGGGGCCACCTGGGGACCTACTCCCTCTCCCGTTTTCCTCCTGCCTGTCCCTGCCTGCTGCACTGAGACGTGGGACCCTCAGAGACCGCCCTTCTCAACCCTCAGGCTCCTGCAGGGTGACGCTCTGGGCTGCTTTCCCTGCAGTATTTGTCCCCAAGCTGGCACAGACCGCTTGGCCCTCACCCACAGATGCAGGTCAGAGGCAGGGGCTGGGGCAGAACCTGTGCTGGCCTAAGTGACAACCAACGGCTCACGGGCCACTCCGTAAGAGCTCAGACGCGGCCTTCCTCCACCTGGGACCCAAGACTCGCCTTGGGGAAGGCTTGCACACCCCGAGCCCCTGACCCCCCTTTGGGCCACTGTCTGAGCTGAGCTCCTCGCTGCCACACGCCCCCGCACCCATTCCCCTGGGACAGCGGGCTCTGGACCCAGAAGCTCTGCCCACCGCCCCGTCGCCCCGTCGAGCCGGTCTGAGCACAGGGAGGGGGCGCGGCGCTGCTGCCCCACGAGACAGGCTCCCCGCGCGCCTTACCCAGGGCGCACAGGCGACAGCAGCGCGCGTCCGTCCCGGTTCCACGCAGAAGGCGGCCGGGGCCGCAGCTCACACCCCCGGCGGGGCGCTGGCCCAGGCCCACGGCGCAGAGCAGCGTGACGCCGCACAGGGCCACGCGCGCGCCCCTCGCCTCCATGGCACCCATGGCGGGACGGAGCCGCGAGATTTGAGGGGATGGGCCCCGCCCCGCCCCCATCCGGGCACGCCCAGACCCCGCCCCGCGGGCTGCGGGCCCCTGCCGAGGTGCAGGGAGGGCAGAGAAATTGTTCCCATCCGGACCCGCTGTGCCACCTGGCAACCCACAATGCCCGGGGCAGGCGGCGCGCCGGGGCTCTGGGGCAGGGAAACTACCGCGAGTGACTGCAGTGACGACGCGTCGTTAGAGCTTTGTCCAAAGCACAGAATGCACGGCCGCGCGCGACCCTCTCGCAGACCAGGCAGCCCACGACACCGCGCCTTGTCCGCGCCGCGTGTCCAACGTCACAAATGGCCCCTGGGGGCAGGGGCACGTGGGAAATCTCTGCAGCTGCCCCTCACGTTTGATGTGAGCCCAAAGCTGCTCTAAATAATAAAAAAAATTTAAGTCAACTGAGCCCAGCTGTATCTCACGGAGGTGGTCTCTCAGCAGGCTGCAGAGTGCAACCACACAGGGTGGGGGCGGGGGCCTCCAGGAGACTGGTGTGCGGGGGCGGGGGGGGGGTGGCCTTGGGGGTTCCTAAGTGTTCCTGAACTTTGCTCCAGGAATTCCTACCCAGAAACTAAATATGCCCCCAAATGTGTGTCTATGGTGGGACACTGAACACAGCCTACATCCCCAACTACGGCTGGGGCAGGACTGGGAAGGGAGAGGAACCTGTAACCTGTCAGGTCTGAAGGGAGCGTTGCCTGCGGGGGGTGCTGAATGCTAAGTGGCAGACAGCACCCTGAGGAGGGTAGTGCCCACAGGTGCGCTGCTGCAGGGACCCCCAGAAGGACAGTCTGGCCAAGGGCTGCGCCCTCGCTGTGCCCCCTCGGTGTCTGGCTGGGTCCCCTACCCCTGCTCCAGCTCCCTCAGGAGGGCCCCATGGGCTTTTAAAGATCTCCTCCAACTCCCTGGTCCTCTCTGAAACCTACACACCCCAGAGCCCACATCTGCCAGCATCATGGTCCTGCCTGCTGATCCTCAGCACAGAGCCCCACACCAAGAGGTCCCCCACTTTCCAGGGATCCGAAGGGGCCCTCCCACTCTCCAGGGATTGGGACAACACCCCCCTCACTTTCTGGGGATCAGGACAAGCGCCCTCACTTGGCCAACAAGGTCTGACCAGGCTCCAGGTGCACATGGTGGCCCCCCAACACACACACACACACGCACGCGCGCGGTGCTGACACCTGCTCGCAGCTTAGGGCTTCTAGGGGAGCGCCCCCACACCCCCAACCCAAGGACCTCCTCAGATCTTGGGAAGGTTGCTGGTAAGGAGCAGTCCAGGCACTGACCACACGTCTGGTCTCTTGAAGCTCTGGCCCAGAGGTGGCCCTGCTCAGGTCCCAGCTCTAACTGCTGGGCTGGTTTCCACCCAGACCTCTCCAGACAAATCTGGTCATCCTGGAGGGTGTGGAGGGCCAGCCTCTGACCGAGCCCTCGAACCACAGAAAATTCAGTCTCCCACTCACCGTGAGACTGTCCCTGGTGCCTCAGAGCTTCGGCTTCCCCGTGTGCACAGAGGGCTTCTGGGGCCCTGCCTCCTCCAGGAAGCCTCCCTGGGGCCAGGGTCTCAGGAGCGAGACTGGGCTTATACCCCCAGGGCTGGAGGTGTGGAGACAGCTGTGCCATTGGCCTTTGGGACCTGCAGCTGCCACCTGGCCGATGGGCAGCTGTTCCTCTTCTGAGGGAAATGACAGGAATTAGCCATCTGTGACCCAGCTCTCCAAGTCCCAGGAGGCACAGCCCCTCCCCAGAGGGCTAAGCCTGGCCGTGCAGGGGAGGGAGGGGGCTCAAGGGTGGGCTGTAGCTCCAGGCTGCCCGAGGCTCCGAGGGGCCTTGAGATCTCCGTTGAGCTCCCACACCGGGACGTGTGTCTGAGCGCTGGGACAGAGAGGGACTCCACGCACAGAACCAGCAGGTCTAGACCTTCGTCCACTGCTCACTTCAAAGACCTGAGGGGTCAGGTCTGTGGCAGGACCGGGTCAGCCCAATTCTGGTTAGCGCACGATGTACTGTGGCCCAGGAAAATATGATCAATACCCTACAAATGATGCTTGTCAGACTGGGCCAAGTGTCCGCTGGTCCTTCTGGAAGCAGGGACAGAGTTAGAAGCTTCTGGAAGCAGTGTGTGGTGGGGAGGGGTGAAGGTGAGCTGGGCAGGAGGAGCTCTGGGCAGGAAATGTCCACTGGAAGGGCCCGGGGGCGAGTGGGAGAGGAAGGTTCTTCCGGGGCTGCCACCCAACAGCAGCAAGAAATCAAAGGGCCCACGTCAAATGCCCGCAGAGATAGTGGCTTATGAGCAAGGCCCCTCAAAAGGCAGGGGTGACGTCAGCCAAATGTCAGTGCCTGCGTCTGCTTTCCTGCTCCAGCTCCTCCGGAAGCCCCCCGCCACCGCCCCAGTCACAGGCTGCGGGGATGCGTGGAGCCTCCACGGCTGGGCAGCGAAGGGAGAGGCGATCCTTATCTGCGTCTGTGTTTTCCAGTACTCTGAGCCGCTCACCACATTTTTACGTTATCACTCATTCCAACTTACACAACCCCTGTTCCTGTTAGCGGAGGGCCCTTCACGGAGTCCAGGCAGTAACCAGAAGGGTGGTGGTGTGTGGAGATGGGGCTCTGACAGCAGGGTGGATGGGGTACCAGGTGGGGGCGTGGAGGAGGGGCCCCCGGGGAGAGGCGGCTGGGGGACACTGGGCACTGGGCAGGGCCACAGCTCCATCACCCAGGCCTGGGGGTCAGGCAGGCCTGGGGGTCAGGCAGGCCTGGGGGTCAGGCAGGCCTGGGGCAGAGGAAGTTTGAGGGTTTTCAGCAGACTGGCAGGGGGTGAGGGGCTGGAGAGTGTGCTTAGGGTCGGTGTAGAAACAAAGAGCAGGTGACTCTGTCCATCTTTCTGTCCCACAGCAGGGATGGAGCAGCCAGGCAAGGGGAGGGTGTCCTGGCTGAGGGAAGAGCTGGGAAGTGTGGGGAGGAAGGCCCCAGGATCTGAGCCCTCCCCTGCCCCCACCCTGCCCCCTCCACCAGGTCCCATAGCACTTCTCCACAGCCTCCGTGCTGTCCTGGGAACCACTGTCCCCCAGTCAAGGGTGCGGGTTTGCTGCCTGTGTCGAGGGCACTGCTTACGTTGTTCTGGTCACTGCTGAGGCTCACGCCAGAAGACCGTGGGAACTCAGTGTGGATGAACATGGGACGGCTCTGTCCTCCCTCTGCAGTGTTCAGGCCAGGGGCGGAGGGGTCAGAGATTTGAAGACAGGTTGGACGGGCCTCTAGGGCGACCTTGGGGAGCAAGATGGCCCAGGAAACAAGGAGGGTTGGTGTCCAGGGCTGTGCCAGAGTCAGGGCCCAGAGTCTCATGCTCGCCATGGTGCCTTTGGCTGCAGGTCACCTGGCAGCTGCGAAGGACATTCTCTACCTGGCCTGGCACCCCAGCCGGAGGGGCGCCATGGTCATGGACAAGTCATGGTCAGTGGGACCCCACTGTCGATGGGCATTGGGATTTTTCTGCATTGAGGCCTTTTGTTTACACCAAGGGCAAACTGAGGATCAGCCTGATTGGAAATCTCTACTTTCCCGAAGTGGTGACACCCAACCTTCACTGCTCACTACCGACAACACACAGGCAGGTCTGGTAGGGCATGCAGTTCGAGAGGCCTCAAGAAAGAATGTCTCTTGAGCTCTCTGCTCTGGAAGGACACAGAGACCTGAAGGGTCGCCCTCAAACGTCCCCTTTGGGGCCAGGGCCTCCAGTCTCCTACCTGCTCCCATTAGTGCCCAAGCTGTGAGCTCACTGGGAGTGCCTGGGGCCTACTCACCCAGGTTTAGGGGCTCAGAGCAGCGGCTCCTGGATTCCCCCAACAAGCTGCTGGGTTGTCTAATCCTCCCAGGACATTTATTTTGGCCTCCACGCCCCACTGCATGTGCCGGGACATGCTCAGAGAAGGGGTGAGGACAGGGGTCCTGCGGTCTCTGAGTGGGGTCCACTTGAGCTCCCTACCCAACAACCCTGCCTAGGCTGGAGATCCCTCTCCCACCAGAGTGGGCACAGCCCCTGCGCTCCCTCCGCGGCTGTGCAGCCCCCAGCCCGCCGGCACCCAGCGGGGACCCTCCGCGGCTGTGTGGCCCCTGGCCACTGGCATCCAGCAGAGACCCACATTCGCCAATGTCCTTTATTGGGGGGCACCACCCTGGGCAGGAAGTATGCACAGCATACGTAGCAGAGCCCTGGGTGCCAGCCCAGGAGCACCTAAAACGGCGCAGGGTGGGGTGGCGGGGTGACAGAGCACCCAGGTGATGGGGTGTGGTGGCCTACACCTGGGGGCACCCCCGATGCCCCTCAATGTCTAGCAGACCCTCTGGGCTCCAGCCTGGCATGGGAATGCTAGCTGCTCAGATCTTGGCCAAGGTGGAGTTGGCATCGGCGTGCTCCTCTTGGATAGGGGTCCGGAAGCTATTTCCAGCTGCGGGGGGAAGAGCGAGAGGTGGGAGGTGGGTCAGGGTTTCAGCCCTTCAGGAGGCCGTCTGGACTGGGGCCACACAGGGTACTTACTGGGGGGCAGCCGCCAGGCTCGGTGGTGCAGGAGCAGGGCCAGCGCGGCCGCCATGGGGGCAAGCAGGCCCAGGCCCAGGACAACGGCCAGCTGGGGGCCTGTGGGAGGCAGGGCCTGCTGGGGTGGGGTCCACCAGAGCAAGGAGTCCACCCCTGGGGGGCCTCCATGAGGGCAGAGGGCATCCCACCCCATCCCTCTCTCCCCACGCCCCTTCTGTTTGGGGTTGGGGAGGGCCCTGCTGGGGTGAGGCCAAGCCCCCCTTACCCCTGGGGGGCTCTGTAGGGGGTGTGAAGGGCTCCTGTGGGACCCTGGCCCAGGCCGTGGTGGGCTGGGTGGTGGGGGGCCAGGCTGGGGGGCGCTGGGTCTCCCGCGGCAGTGTGGCTGGGGGGCTCCTGTCCTCACAGACAGCATCCGAGCTTGCACTGGCTGGCCGCACCGTGCGCTTTCCCATCAAGGTGCAGCTGAGGAAGGCAGGGGAGTCGATCAGGCCAGAGCCCCGACCCCCACCCCCCGCCAACTCCTCCCAGATTGACTGGATGGGCCCAGAACTGAGACAGGACCAGGGAGATGTGGGGAGCGATGGGCAATCCACACTGGATCACCTCAGGCAGCATCACACTCCCACCCAGAGGACAGGCCAAGGACCCTGCCCAGGCCCCCACACCCCCCAGGGGACATTGGCCACACCCAGGGCCACCTGCCCCACACCGTCATTCCCCATCTCCCCTCGCTCTGCTCCCCACACGGTCTCCTCCCAAGCTGCTCCAGCCGCACCTTGCCCTCTCAACCCACCCCCTTGCTCTTCTCTTGCTGCCCCCGCCGTGGAGGCCGCAGCTGTGGATGAGCAGCGCTCTCACAGACTCCCAGAGCCTGGGACAGAGTCTCATGCACTCCTCACTCCAACCCAACAGTCAGGCTGGACCAGGACCGAGCAGGCGGGCAGCACAGTGGGGCCAGGGGTCATGAGGGGACGGGGCCATTGGGGGGGGCAGGGGCCAGGAGCCCCCCAGGTCACTCACTTGGTCCAGGGCTTGCAGGCCTGGTTGTCACCTGGGGAGAAGTGTCCCAGTGGGCACGGGGCACAGTCTGCAACAAAGACAGCAGGACAGACAGTCTCCTCCACTGCCACCCACCTCGGGGACCTGGACGCAGCAGCTGCTGGGGGCTAGTTCTGTAGGGCTGGGCGCTCCCCCACCACAGCCTCCAGAACCTCCTCCCTGCCCACATGCCACCCCCTGGCCCTGACCCAGGTGCCCCCCACCCCTTTCTTGGCATGGCCTGTTTGCTGGGGGGAAGCAACCTGCTCTGAGCCGGGGGGGGGGGGGCGGGGTGCAGTGGGAAGTGATAGCATGTGATGTAGAAGACATGCTTCCTTTACAGCCCGCGAGGCCCCCACCGGCACGCAGACCCTGACCTCTCAGGCACACGCCGCCCACGCCCGGGCTCACCGACTCCACGCTTAAAGCCGTCCTGGGGCTCGGTGCCTGGCTTACAGCTGCAGACCGTGTCCTGCGTGGGTGTGCACCTCCACTTGGGCTCGCTCCCACTTCCTGGGGGTCAGGTGAGGCGGGCGCAGTCGGCGGGGCTGCCGGGGCTGCCGGGGCTGCCGGGCAGGCTGGAGGACCGAGGCCGAGGGCTCCCGGACCAGCAGCCCCCTTGCAGCCGGGCAGCTCCCGGTTCTCTCCAGTCCCTGGATGCCATATTCCTTCTGGCCACTTGGCCCCTGGGACGCATCCCCGTGGCAGTTCCAGCCTCCCGTCCCACCTTCCGTCGGGCCCACAGCAGGACCTTCGTTGGCGCTTGGATGCGGCTCTCACCACCCCCAAAGGCCCACTGGCAGGCACGTGCTCCTGCCTGACTCCACGTGGCCTCAGCCCCCCGGGAGGAGGGAGGGGCTCCTAGGGGGCCTCCGTGGTGCAGCAGGCCCCACTGTGGTTTGGGGTTTGTTTCTGCGGCTGTGGGGACCTCCTGTGAGTGCCTGGGCGGGGCGACAGGGACTCGGGCAGGGGTCCCGGGATCGGGCTGGGGTGGGGCTCACTCTGATTGCACTGTGTGCAGGGTTTGCAGGGTTCGTAGTTCGTAGCCTCGTTGTAGAAGCCAGACAGACACGGGTGGCACTTGGTGTCCTGGCCTCTGCTGCAGCGGCTCTCCATCCCATAACCTGCGGCGGGAGGCGGGCCGCAGTCAGCTTGGCCTGGCACCCCCAACCCCGGTCCTGGCGGCCCACGGTCCTGGGCCCGGTTGCAGGTCACCCACTCTACCAGCCCGAGCCCGCTAGCCCATGACCCCGCGTCCCAGCACCCCAGCTGCAAGTTCCCCTCTCCCCAACGCCCATCCCCATATACGACCCCCACCCCCAGGTCTCGGGTCCCCATGAACCCACAGGCACCCCTCCCCCAATTCTGTGGCCAGGCCACTCACCTGGCGGGCAGTCACGACAGCACCTGCCGTCTTTGGGGTAGGCATCCCCCACACAGGTGAGCTGGGCTGCAGTGCCCAGCACTAGTCCCAGGAGCAGGAGGGCTGAGCGAGGCCCACTGGGCCGCTGAGCCTCCACAAACATCCTCATCTCCGCAGGTGGTGCAGGAGTCTGGGGTTTTTCCTTGCAGGATGTGGCTATAAGGGCTGCGGAGGAGGGGTGGGGAGGGAGAGAGGAGGAGGGGACCAGGAGGAAGGAGGCCCAGGAAGGGCTGGGGACCCCTGACCTGGGCTGGCGGCAAGAAGACAGCTAGTCTGGGAAGCAACCGTCCAGGCTGTGGGCTTCTCCCCTGCCCTGGGCTGCAGGGCCCTCATCCCCTCAACTATGCCCAGTAGCCTCAGGCTCAGCCGGCTGGGGCTGAGCCTGGGGCCAAAGGGAGGACCGGCAGCCGCCTGACCCCTAGCAGGGCCTGCACATCTAGTCCGCACCCCCACACACTGGACCCCTCTTGCCCCCATCTCACCGGGGACGTGGAGTCCCTTCGGCTGGGCACACTGGGTACCCTCCTGCTCTGCCCAGCCCAACCAAGCCGTTTGGATGAGGGTAGTCTTCGGGGCCCCCCACAAGCTTGCTCCTTCTGGGCAACCCCTCTCCCTGTACAGGGCAGGGCAGACCCCTCAGGACGAGCAGGTAGCTGCCCCTGCAACGCCCCCCGCAAAAGGCGACATTGATGCCAATCCTCACCCCCAAGCAAAGGGGTGCACAAAACAGAGGGGCAAACCAAGGCAGCACACTGCTCAGGAGACAGGCCTCACACCGTCTGGAGCCTCTACTCTCTACTGGGCATCGGCTCGGGGGAAGATCAGCAGTGCCCCAGACTCCAGGGCATGGTGCCCGGCCCAAGCATCCGAAACTAGCCGACTGAGGCAGTGGTCAAGGCTTTGAGGGCGCCTGTGCCCACACGGTGAGCGTGCAAGCGTGTGGCAGCATGTGCTGGTGTGCAGGCGTATGTGGCCGGCATATGAGTGCAAACGCAGGGGTGTGCTGGTGTGTGAGCAGGTGTTAGGAGCTGACTGTGCCCCCGAATCCCTGGGTTGAAACCCTGACCTCCAACGTGGCTGTTTGTGGAGAAGGGGCCTCTGGGGTGCTGGTAAAGTTTAGATGGGGTCAGAGGGGTGGGTCCTGATCCCAAAGGGCTGGCGTCCTTCTGGGAGAGACCCCAGGGAGCGCAGAGGGAGGCCAGGCGAGGACAGAGGCCTCAGGAGGCTCTCAGACGTCCGGCCCCCAGGACGGGGAAACGATCGTCCCTGGTATCGTTAGGACGGCACCTGCCCTGTGCCCTACGTACAAAGTATGCCGGGAGCACGCGTGAACCCGTCTGTGTGTGTGTGCGGCTGCTGGGAGGGTGGGGGCAGGGCGTCCACCCACACCCACTCTGACTCCCTGGCCGCGTGGGGGCCAGCAGGACGGCTGTGTGCCCTGTGGTGGCCGGGCCAACCCGGCCCCACCCCACACCCACCCTGGGCTTAGAGTGTCCCCACAGCACCAACGCGAGGCCTGGGATGACCCATTGGGTGGTCCCACGGAGCACGTGGCGTCCTCGGACACGGCCCCGGGCGGTTGCAGGGCAGGCAGGGAGGGCTGTGTGCAGGGCTGTGGTGTGTCAAGCGGGAAGAACAGGCATGTGCCCACCCGGCTAGGACATCACTGGGTGCCCTGGAGGCAGGGGAGGCTACACTGTGTCGTTCTGTACCTTCCAAACCATACCCTTGAGATGAAATTAACCATTCACCAGTTAGTTTACAGAGTTTCAGGTGCAGGGCCTCCCTCAGGGAGGAGAGCGGGGGGAAGCTGGAAATTCCCCTCCCTGACTCCCCGACAACGGGTAAGAAAGCTGAGCTTCCCCAGCCCACCTGTGGGAAATTCCTCCCCGGCTGAGCTGGGCAAGGTGGGCACGGACGAGGCCACGGCCCACAACAGCTGGGGTGGAGGGAGGCAGGCTCTGCCAGCGGCCAGGGGGCCACACAGGGGAGGGGACCAGGGCGTCAGGCAGCCTGGTGTGCATGCATGTGCATGCGTGGGCCCCGTCTTCCGCAGATGGTGAGAAAAATCTTTTTTTTTAATTGACAAACTGTAGCCCGAGGTTGAGCTAACTTGGGACTCCGCTGGGCAGCGCCCCCTCCAGCGTGCCCCTCTCCTTCTCTGGGGGTCACGTGGGGGCTGCCTGCCCTCTGGCTATACGGGTCCCCACTGCCTGAGGCCCTGCACACCTGGCCCACGAATCGGGCATCTGCTCACGGGGACCCACCAAGCACAGACAACTAACCGCACTCAGCCTGCATCCTGTGGGCCCAGCCGACCCCCGGCCTCAGCCCACACCTCTGCCCACCATCACACAGCTGCTTGCTGCTGACTCACCCACGTGGCCTGGCCACCACGGGGACCCCCTCCCACCACACACTCCTGTCCCTTCTGAAGCCTCGTCTGCCTGGAAGCACAAGTGTCATGCGCCCTCGTTCCTCTACAGCGGCCCCAGCCCACACTGCTCGGAAGCGGGTCCCTGTGGCAAGGGCAGGTCACAAGGGCAGCTCAGGGCAGCCCCTCTGCCCACCGGGCGGGAGCCCCCACCCGAGCAGGGCCCTCTAAGGCCTGAGCAGACCCCCCGGCTGGGTGAGCTGTCCACGGAGGCACGCCGGCCCACGGCTCAGGGCTCCCAAGGGGATGACCAGCACGGAGCGGGGCAGGGGCTGAAGGTGGCAGCTCGGAGGTACGTGAGGTCAGAGACCCTCAGTCAGTTGAACCCCTCACAGCTCAATGCCCTCTGTCCCCACACACGAGAAAAGTACTGGGCATGGCTGACCCCCAGAAAGGGCCTGGGACCGCAAGCCTGAGAAATCGAGGTCTGGTGGGATGTCCGCCAATAGCCCCGTCCTGTCCCCAGGCTCTCAGGCCCTCCCAGCCCCTGACTACAGGCTCAGTGAGACTCCAGATCCCCTGGCCACCTCTGCTCCGTCCCCCACAGCCAGCCCAGCTGGAGGTGATTCTCAGTGGACTCCTGTGTTCTCCCCCCGGCCCCTGCCCTAAGGGCTCGTCCTCAGATCTTCCCTCCCTACCAGGAACTCCGGTCCCCCCACCGGGCCCCTCCCAGGGGGTCTCACCCAGGCTCCACGCTCCTCACTTTGAATCCGTAGCCCAGACCCTCCGCTCCCTGCAAGAGCCCTCTTCCACGTACCCACGGGCCTCCCCATCGCTGAACACATCCCTCACATGCAGCCCCACCCCGGGGCCTGGTCCCTTCCACACCTGCCCTGGCAAGAGCCTGACCAAACCCTCTGTTCTCACCAAATCGCCCACCTCAAAAGCACTGAGTGGAAGCCAGCTAGCCACAAACGTTCCAAAATCATTTTATGGGCTTTTTTTCAACAAAGAAATGAAGCTAGGAGAAAAAGGCAACTCTATTTTAAAGTACATTAATGAGATTCTCATCACAAGTGTGTGTGTTTTCGGAGACTGAACGTTGTGGCAGGCACCCCCCAGCGGCCGGCTACAGGCTCCCAGCAGAGCACATTCTAATAGTTGGTTCACTTCTCGGTTTTCAAGGAAACGGCAGGAGCTGCGTTACTTCCCACAGGTGTGGTGAGCCCACAGGGCCCTGATGTGGTCAGTGCCTTCCGCAGAACAGCACCCGGTTCTCAGAAGTGAGATGCAGCAGTCACGTGGGACCCCACGCATGGGGGGCAGCCAGCCCGCAACTGCACCTCGGGACTCGGGCCCGCTCAAGCACATCTGTGACAAGCCTGGACCCACGGCTGTCGGGGCCGCGGGAGGGAGGGAGGCCTCCCGGAGGGGCCAGCTGGCCAAGGCGCATGGGGCAGGAGGCGCGGGCTCAGAACTCCTCGTGCACGTTGCGGGCGTAGTCCATCAGTTTGCTGCCTGTGAAGAACTCGCTGTACTTGAGGACCTCCTCGGGCTCCAGGTGGTGGTTCTGGTTCTCGTCGGCGATGGCGATCATCTGCTTGGCCTCATTAAGGGCGTTGTACTCGTTCATGGGGTCCATGTAGTCCTACAAGGGTTCCGGCCACTGGGTCAGCATGGATCCCTGGCTGCCACGGCCCTCCCCAGCGCACCCACCCCCCAGCAGCGCTGGGGCCCGTCGACCCCGGGTGTCATCCCCACTACAGCACCACGTCCGCACCTGGTGACTTGGCTGTGAGACATGGCCCCCCAGGGCAGACGCCCCCACCCCCACGGATGCCCCGTCAGCAAGGTCGGCACCTCCTGCCTCAGGAAAGTGGCTGCAGGTCTCTGACCCTGTCACCAGCTACAGAAAGCAACGCCTCATTTAAAATACCCCATGGGCTGACAGAACAGAAGCAGCAAGAAGGGGATATGGGCATGTTCTGGAATGTTCTGGAACACAGACACCAGGCTAGATGGGGCTCAGGGCCAGACAGCCTTTGCCTGCGTGGGCGCCTGAGACTCGCCGCCTCCCGTCCTCCTCAGGGCACCCCTGATGGAAGGAAGGGCCGGCCAGAGGGCAAACAGCCTTGAGTGGCCCCCGGGGGCCTGCCTATGGGTCACGTGACGCCCGGACACAGGCCCGGACACAGACCCAAGGAGCCGCTGTTCAATCCTTGAACCAGATGTGCCCACCAGCTATCAACAGGGATCAGAGAATTCTGGTGTAAAGACAATGAGTCACCCAGCAATGGGGAAAAACAAGCCCACACAGCACCTACACAAGACCAGCAAAAACACTTCAGGGGAAGATGGTGGATTCCAACCTAGCCTACAGCCCCCGGCGCCCAAGCCAGCTGCCAGGAGGGGCCGAGGCATCCCAGGCACCCTGACCGGGGGGCAGGCACAGGCGCCTCACTGCGCGCTGCCGGCTCTTCTGCTCGCATCTTGTCTGAGCGCCCCAGGTGACCACGCCGTCAGGCGAATCCCCCTCCCCTGCACGCAGGGAGCCCACCTCCAGGTGCTGTGAAGGGCCGCACCACCAACCACAGCTGGACCAACCAACGCTGCCTTCCTTTCCACCACAGCCCCTTGCCTCAGGCACCCCGGGAAGCCTGGGGACCTGGGCCGACCTCAGATGCCCCCCGGGCACTTGCGCTCACCTCCAGCTCCGCCATGGTCACAATCCCGTCATGGTTGGCGTCAATCAGTTCCTCAAACTCTTTTTTTCGGTCTCTGACCCAACTGTCATCGATATCCTGGCCCTGCTGGTTCTCCACCGTGCCCACAGGCAGAGAGATGAACTCGGGCAGCGAGAGCCGCTTGTCACCGTCCTGGTCTGCCAGACAGGGAAGTGGACGCTCAGAACTCAAGTAGACATGGGACCACCCAGGCCCACCCAGAAGAAAATAAACCAAACAGGATTGCTGCCAAATTTTCAGTGTGTTCAATTTTAGCCTAAAGCAAAACAGGTGCATCTCACCTGACCTGCTCGAGAGCCTGACGGAGGCCAGATGGCCCAGTACAAGGCCTGACCCTCCCTCACCACTGTGCAGCCAGACAGCCTCCAAGACCCCCGGGCCGACCCCTGCCAGGAGGACTGCTGCAGGTGCACATGGGCCCTGCCCTCCAGCCCAGCCTCCAGCAGGGAGGCACCACCCCCTAGAGACTGGGTCACGGGCCAGGCCTCACCCAGGTCCCGGACAATCTCCTTGACCATGAACTTGAGCATGCCACGGCTGTGCTCAGGGTGCAAGAATGACAGGAACTCGTCCTCAGTCAGAAGCAGGTCTGAGGGGGGGTTGTCTGCCTGGTACCAGCGGTCCTTGAGGTTCTCCAGGACTTCCTGTGCTGAGAGAGGCATACCCGTGAGGACCCAGGATCCCTGCATGCATCTGAAAAGTTCTGAGATGTGCTGCCTGGATGGGAAGGCTGGCTCAGGACACTGTGGTGAGTGAGGCCAAGGACCCTGCCGCTCAAAGGAGAGCTCAGCCCTCAGGGAGGCAGACGGTGCAGAGCCCCCCAGACAGACACAGACCCTCCCAAGACACAGGCACAGACTGCTCTCAGACGCAGACACAGACCTCACAAGATGCAAATACCCGTGGACACAGACCCCCCCAAATACAGGGGCCAAACCCCCTCCAGATTACAAACCCAGACCCCCCAAGACACAGATTTTCCCCCCTTGGACAACCCCCCCCCCCACAGACACCCGCCTCCTGCCCTCATACAGCCCCCACCCTCAGCTCACTGCTGCTCTTTGCTCCTCGGGAGAAATGGAAAGCAGGGTGTAGGCGGACTCACCCTCACCGTGCACCTACAGGAACAAAGCACGACCTTGTTCCTTTCCATCTCTTTCACGTGCACCGTATGCAGAGGGCAGGGCTCTGGAGGAAAACCCAGCTTCCAGATATGACTCAAGCGTCCCCCACAGACTCTCGCCGCAGCCCCCACTCTCCCTCCGTGAGAAGGCCCGGCATGGGGAGCGTGGCCCGGAGATTGCCCCCACAGCTTCACAGGCTCAGTGACCATTCACGGAGAGGAAGAGCTGAGGCACGGAGATCTGTCCACACCCTCACTACAGTCACTGGGAACGGGGATGCTCAGGCCTCGGCACATCGCAACGGGGACACAGCTGCATCCCACACAGTCCCCATCACCTCGAGTCTCAGTGCCTTCTGATGAACAGAAGATCCCGTGGTGACCTACTTTTAATGGCAAATCCACTTAGAGGAAGGTGGGAGTGAGAGGTTGCTCCTGCCTGCCACGTATGGGGACAGGCGCAGACTCGCTACATCCGCCTGCGGCCTGTCAACAGCGCCTGATGGAATCAAGTTTGTGGGGCTGCAACTACTCAAGGACCTCGACCCGAGGTCACTGGAGATTTAAGGTGGGCACCGAAGCCAACAGCAGCTGTCCGCACACAGACACATAAGCAGGGACGCTGGTGGCACCAGAAGCTGGAGGGAGGCCTGCCACCGACCCCTGCAAGCCCCTGTCTGCGGTGCCTGGGGCTCGCAGCCCCACAAGCCCCGAGGAGGCAGACTGCCACGTGGGGACTCTTAGCTCTCAGCCCCCACCTGTGCTCCCCTGGCCTCCCAGACCCTTGACACTGCTCTTCACTTCCGATGCCCCAGACCTGCTCACCCCACCCAAACTAAAGAAGGGAATGAGGGGCCTTGAACTCGAGCTGAGATGAAAGAGTCGACAGGCAGGCTGAGGTGACACAGTTCACGTCCCCGAAGGACAGGTCCTGATCCCAGGCACACCCGAAGGAAAGGTGCTAAAGACAGACTAGCTCCCGAGAGCAGGCAGGGAAAGAGGGCCAGCAGCCCGCAGCCCTGCAGCCACCCCAGACGCTGGTACCAAATCACCAATGCTGGCAGGAGGACCGAGGCCCCCCAGGACCCCCAGATGCCTCTAAATACCACCTTCAGGGGACAGCTGGAACCACAGGACAAACCATGGAAACGCAAAACAAACATATGAAAAAGGCAAACAACCATTTCAGGAAAAAAAAAATCACGTCCAAGGACAGAAGTGAGTGGCGCCTGGGTGGCTCAGTCGGCTAAGCCTCTGCCTTCGGCTCAGGGCTTGATCCCGGGGTCCTAGGATCGAGCTCCGCATCGGGCTCCCTGCTCAGCAGAGAGTCTGCTTCTCCCTCTCCCTCTGCCTGCCGCTCTGCCTACTTGTGCTCTCTCTCTCTCTCTGTCAAATAAATAAATAAAATCTTAAAAAAAAAAAAAAGGAAAGACAAGTGAAATCCTGGATGGTTCCCAGGGAACTGGGGAAGGCCGGCTGGCACCCGAGGGCATCCAGAAGCCTCCGTGCTGCTCAGGAAAGGGGTCTGGCGCTGCAAAGTCACACGTGCGCCACAGACCGACTGAGCCGGAGAAACAAAGGTGTGGGACATGGACGAGCTGCCCGTGACGGGCGGCCCCCACGGAGACAGCTGGAAGTCTGGGGACTCAGACCCTACAAGATGCTGCAAGAAAATGGAACTACAGACCAGTGTGTCTCATGCAAACGTGCCCCACAAAAGATCAGCAAATTAAATCCAAAAACACGTAAGAAGAATCCCAGACCACAACCAAGTGGGACTCATCCCAGGTGAGCAGGCTGGTTCGACATCTGAAAATCAGTTAACGTGAGCATCACATCAGGCCAAAGAAAAATCACACGATCATATCAACAGACACAGAAAAAGCATGACATAAAATCCAACAGCCATTCATGATCCAAACTCTGAGCAAACTAGGAATAGAGGAAAATTTCCTCCGCTGGACAAAGAACATCTACAAAAAACCTACAGCTCATATCAAGTTAATGGTGAGAAACCGGACGCTTTTCCTCTAAGATCAGAAGAAGAAAAAAGTGCCCCCCCTCCCCACTGCTTTCCAACACCGTACTGGAAGTCCCAGCCAACGCAGTAAGATAAGGAAAGGAAATCAGAGGCACACAGATTGGGAAGGAGGAAACAAACTGTCCGTGTTCACAGATATCACAGTCACCTGCGTAGAAAGTCTGAATCGTATCAAGACCGCAGGCCAGAAAGTTAGCACAGAAAGGCCAATCACTTCCCTGCATGCCAGCAAGGGAGGTGGGGAATCAGGATCAAGGACGAGCAAGAAAATACAAACAGAAAGAAGAAAGAAGGTATGACTGCAACCGACAGAGGACAGGAGCGCTGGCACGGACAGGAGCGCCCACAGCCCACCCTGCCGGCAGCCATCACGAAGCGGAGGAGAGGGTGCCGGCCCACTCACCACACAGACACATGACAAACAGGGGCTGTGTCATGGGCGCAAAGATGCCGCAGAGAAACTCCCGCACACCCGCGACCACCACAGGAGAAGACACAATGGGACAAGGGTGGGGATGGTGACCCACCACATGGAGGAAGGACAGGACATGACAGGCGGCACACCAAACCTGATGCCCGGCTTGGCAGGGGCCCCCAGGCGAGATCAGTGAAGGGTGTGAGTATCCTCCAGCCGCACTCGAGAAGCCAGCCAACACCCCAGTGCACCCGCACCCGGAGTTTCCCTCGCCCATGAGGCTTTAAAGGCTAAGGGGAGGGCGGAGCTCTGCCCTGCTGGTGGCCAGCCCTGCCCCACCTCCACGCCACCTGCCTCACCGTACTCCCCTCCCCAGGACCTTGTCCTGGCCCCCAGACCGGCCTGCCCCCCAGCTCGAGCCCACAGGAGGCCACCTGCTGCCCCAAGGCCCGCCCTGGCTACAGGCCCCCTCGCGGCGCACCACAGGGCCCAGGCGCTCACTCTCCTCGTCGACTTTCAGCTCCTCGCCATTCTTTATCTTCTCCACAACTTCTTGCTCGTTGTGGCCTTTGCTCACCAAAAACTTCACCTTATATTCGTCCCACGACACACGGCCTGGAAGAGATAACCGACCTGCTAGGCTGTTCCACGACGGATGGTTTTAGGAATAGAGATGTCATGTTTTCATACATCTGTCAATAACCCCGCACTACAGGCAAATGCAGAAGCAGAAGCACCAGAGTAGCTGCAGCCCAGCCCGCAGCCCGGCCCCCCTCCCAGCCCTGGGGCCCAGCCCCGCGGCCCAGCCCCCAGCCCAGCCAGTAGCAAAGCCCCCAAGCCCAGGCCCTCACTTCCTCTGCCCTCTGTGCACACCGCCCTCCTCCTGGCAGCCTCAGGCCCACGGGGTGAGGGTGAGACCGGCCATACCGTCGCCGTCGGGGTCCACTGCACGAAAGTGCACCTTGCTCTCCTCGATGGCCTCCCGGAAATGCTCTGCTGTCTTCTCCATGATCCAGTGCTGCATCTCCTTGGCGCTGATCCTCCGGTCAGTGTTCACGTCCACCCTGCGGGCAGATAAGCGACGTCAGACGAGGCCTCTAGAACGCGGGACAGGACAGACGGACTGACAGACCAAAGCATGGCCAGAGGGGCTCCACCGCCATGAACAGGGACACACTCTACCCAACGGTGACGCTGGGGTGGCTGGGAAGGCTGACGGTTTGCTCTGCAGGGCAGCTCAGCACCACTTCCCCCACAGTCTGGGGGCCGCTGGGGGAGGACGGACAGGCAGCCTCGTCACCCCAAATCCACACACCCAGACGCTTGGGACAGAACTGTGAAGCCAGAGCAGAGTCATGTTTCGTACGTGGGTACAGACGGCTAGATGGAGAAGCAAACGGAGATGCAAGTGTGCACATGCGAGTGAGCAGTGCTCTGTGGATGCGATGGCTCATACACACACGTGTGCAGACTAGTACGTGTGTGCCTGAGTCAACACACCTACGTACACCCATGTTCCTGCACACTCACACGTCATCTAGCCCCGCCCACCGGGGGACCTCAGGCCCGGACACCAGTGCCCAGATCCCAGCTTCTAAACACCATCCTCCAATGAAAGAAACCAGGGCTCCTTGGACAAATGGCTGATTTCAGGGCTGAGGCAGGCACACAAGATGAGCCTGGAGCATCTGGAAGCACCAACAAGAAAGGAAGTGCCCCCAAAACACACAAATGAAAGAGCAAAACCACGCAGGGCTGGATCGCACCCAAAGTACACGACAAACATCCAGGAGCCCCAGCTGACGGAAGGAAATGACCGATAAATCCACACATGGGGGACAGAGAAAGCCTCCTTACGGAATTCCAAATGATACGGTGGATCTCCCCTGCCACCCCCACACACGGGAGGCCCGGCTCATTCCCACCCCCTGCAGGGCGACTGCCTCGCTGAGTGGCCACCAGAGAAGACAGGAGGGAGAGAGGAGACACCTGGCACGCACCACCTGGACCAGGTGGCCAGGCCAACGGGCCCCGTGCTGTCCTACAGACGCCAGCACCCCCGACAGCATGTGATGAGAGGGCCACCTCACCACCGCTGGGGTGTTCTCTCCCAAACCCACGACACCACTCTAAGCACCAGAAAACACAGCAGACAAACCCAAAATGAGGGACATTCGACACAACACCTCTGCAGTCCTCCTCTAAACTGTCAGGGTCATGAAAAAGTAAGAGGGTCTGAGACACCAGCCCATCCTCGAGGGAACAAAGGAGCTGTCACACTCAATGCGGTGTGGGACCTGGACAGGGATGTTGGGAAACCGAGTGAAATCTCACATCTGCGGTGTAGACAATAGGAACATAGCACTGCTGTTTCTCAGTCTCCACAAATGCACCGTGGTGACCTAAACGTCGGTATTAGGGAAAACCGGCCATCTCTGCCACTCTTCTGTAAACCCGAAACTACTCCAAAATAAAAAGCTTATTTAACAAATGTGGTGGTGGGGCACCTGGGTGGTTCAGTCAGTTAAGCACCCAACTCAATTTCAGCTCCAGTCATGATTTCGGGGTCGTGGGATTGAGTCCCGCGTCGGGCTCTGCACTCAGCCGGCAGATTCTCTCCCTCTCCCTCTCCGTCTCCCCCTGCACACAGGCAGGCACGGGTGCGTGCGTGCTCTTTTTCTCTCTCTTTCTAGTAAATGAATAAATCTTAAAAAAAAAAAGAAATGTTGTTGCAACATTACTTTAATCAAAACCAGGTCCTGCGACCACGTGTGACTCGGGCAGGGAGCCAGGGAGGCGGCAGCTGCGCTGCGACGTCTTAAACCAGGAGTGGCTGTAGGCAGAAGTCGGCGTGGAAACCGCTGCGGCGAGGGGCGGCGAGCGGGGTTAGCTGCTCCCCGTGACCCCGCAAAACAGAGCAGGCCTAACAAAAGCGCCTCCCGTGGACAGACACGGCCACACCTGAGAGACTGAAGAGCAAGCAGCCTGGGAGCCAGCCCCGTGCGCCCGCTGGCCCCACTGTCTGCACTCCAGCCAACATGCTCCTAGCACCACAGCCCCGCTGAGCCAGCCCGCCCCTCTCCACCCTGCATGTAGGCCGGCAGGCGCCCAGGAAGAGCAGGCCCAGGTGTGGTCCGGAATTCAACCCTCCCCCCGCCCACGCACAGACATCTGCACACCCGGCCCTCAGAGCCCTGCCAGGTGGGAGATCCAGGGGGCTCGACCTAGAAGGGGCTCTGAGCCACGCCCCCAGCCCCCATGGTCCCAGTCTCACTGCTGAATTTCTGGCTCCATGCTCTGTCATGACACCCGGCTTTGTTCCAACCGGGTGAAGACCTAACCTTCAACAATGAAGATGTAAGCACAGCAGGAAGGTGTCCCGCCTCCCCAGTGCTCCCCCTGCTCCAGTGGGATGCACCTGCTCCTGGCACTGAGCCTCCGGGCCACAGCCCACCCTCTCTGGATTCTGCCCCTCTCCTATCACCTGTCCTAGGGGCCCTGCCTGGTCCCTCCCCTTCAACAGTGCCGGCCCCTCTGGGGACCCCTTCCTCCCAGAGCTCTGGGCCCGTCCGCTGGAACCCCCGTCCCCTGGCAACACACAAAAGTGCCAAGGAAGGCACAGAAGCAGCCCCAGGAAGAACCTGCTGTTGGCTCCAAAGCCGAGTTTGAATCTGTTTGACGGGAAGATCTTCTAACAGATAAGATATTCACAGGTTCAAGGTTCCACAGGGACCTTGGGGCCCCGGGTGAAGCCACCCTCTCTCCCGAGGATGCCCAGGGTAGTCTGGGTAGATCCTCTTGCCTGTGGGCACACACCTCGCCCCTGGCCCAGTGAGTGGTGCGGACCAGCCTCTGCAGGCTGCCAGGAAGGTGGCTCTCAGCGTGGGGATGGATACTCCCAGCAGAGTCCCGGGGAGAGCCAGTGCCCTGTACGTCAGCGGGCCCAGTCATGAGCAGATTATCAAGGCCAGTGTCCGTGCGCACAGCCCTGTGCTAGCACCCACCTGTCTCCTCAGCCGGTCTCGGCCGGCCCACCATCTGCAGACCTTCCTGCCCCCACCTCCTGCCTCCAGCTGGTGGCCCATCTGCTACTCCGCCCGGCCCCCCAGCACCCAGTGCACATAGCACCTCAAAAAGGCAGGCCTCTGGGATCGCCCTGTCTCGCCCACACCCACCCAGGGCAGCCCCGCTGCCCTCCATCTGTTCTCCACCCTCACCCCTGACCCTATGAGTAGACAGCACACAGCACACTTTATTCTCACCACGCCCAAGAAGCGGGGCTCTCGATACCCCCTTTCACAGATGAGGGCGAGGCTGGCGGGCTCAGGGAACAGAGCCCAGGCCCAGCTGCCAAGGGCCTCCTCCTGAGCTCATGCCCTGGCCATGAAGCCCCTCACCTCCCCAGAGGCTCCAAAGCCCCCAGGCCATGGGACCCGCGTGGGTGCTCACAGCCAGCACCACGACCTGTGCCTGAGTCCAAACCTGTGCGACACCTGGGTGCATTCAGGGCGGCTCCACAGGAAAGTCAGCCCCATGAACGAGCTCCTCTCAGTCCACTCCCTGGGACCGAGAGCCGTGAATCCTGGGTCCTGGCACATGGCTGGGCCACCATGTCACCAATACCCTGGGAGCCTGGACCCCACCAGGCCCATGCTGGGCAGAGAAGCTCCTAAGGCATGGGCCCCCTGAGACCTGTGGACCCTGCCCCGCCCCAGCACATGGCCTGTGTGAGGAAACTAGTTAGATTCTGGCAGCGCCCAGGCCTGGGCACCCACTTGGAAAAGATGACCATCAGCTTCCTCCTGCTTCTCCGTGGCTCTGCGTCCTCCTCAAACCCGTCTATGTCCTTCCCCAGGAAGACCTCCTGGTGGAAGTCCTTGTTGAGGTGCCCATCCATCTCCAGCTTCACCCCATTCAGGTGGTCTGGGGGCAGGATCTCACGCTCATCCTTGTTGCCGGCTCTCTCCCGAGCAGATGAGTGGTTGGCAGGCCGGGCAGAAACATCCATCAGAAGGATGACCCCCAAGAGCCAGAGGCAGTGAGGAACCAAGCCGCGGTGGGGGGTCTGCCTGGACGCCATGGCCACCTGGGTCCGGACTGTGGGATGGTCTGCAAGTGTGGCCAGGAGCTGGGGAGAGAGGGGCGGGGCAGGTGAGGAAGTGAGGCCTGGGGTCACAGCCTTCCCACCACCCCAGGCACTGCAGAAGGGCAACAGCCCGTGGCTGCCAGACCCCAGCATGCAGTTAAAGGTCTATAAAGAGGACACAGCCATCGTTCAATGGAGGGTCAGCAAATACTTCACTAAAGAGGCGTTTAGTTTACAACATGAAATGGAAGTTCTTGGTTTACAGGATACATACTAAACATACTACTTTTTCCTTTTCCAAAGATACCCACCTCAAAGGCTGCCCAACACCACTAAACCTACCCCTTTTCAATGCCCACAGTGGGCCTTCCCAGAACAGTCTCTCTCCATCCCTCCTGGCATCGAGACAGACCCCAGAGTCATGGTAACTCACTCTCCAAATCCCAGCTCAGCATTTGTGAGCTCTGTGACCCTGGCTAAGTCACCTGGCCTCCCCAGCTTCAGTGTCCCCCCTGAAACAGGAAGCTCCCTCCCCCACCCCAACGCTTTGTGAGGATGGGCCTGGTGCCAGCAGATGCCCAAACCCACCCAGCAGGGCACCAGCCCCTTCCTACCTTCCCACCTCGACGACGGCTGCAGGCGTGCACACACACATTCTGCAAGGACACACATGCACACAGGCACATACACCACACTCGAATGCACACGTACACACACATGTACGTATACAAATACACACATGTGCGTGGATATACACACCTGCGTGTGTATGCGCGTGCGCACACGCACACACACACACACACACCCTTGCTCGAGTTCACACAGGAGTACCAGGAAGTCTGTCATCCTTGGTATGCCTGGGCCCCGCATGAGGAAATGCCACAGTAAGGATCCCAGGGCCACAAGCACTCATGCCCAGCACTCAGCCATCCCAGCCTTCTCCCACATCTGGCTCCTTCCACCCAGGCCTACCTGCTTTCCCTCACACCTTCCAGGTTCCTCCAGATTCCCTTCTGAAATGGCCTGGAATTCCCTTCTGGCTGGTGCCAGAACAGGGCCCAGCTGCCTGCCCAGCTCCCTGCTCAGCTTCTTCTTTTTTTTTTAAGATTTTATTTATTTACTTGAGACAGAGAGAATGAGAGACAGAGAGCACGAGAGGGGGGAGCGGGAGAGGGAGGAGCAGACTCCCCGCCGAGCAGGGAGCCCGATGCGGGACTCGATCCCGGGACTCCAGGATCATGACCTGAGCCGAAGGCAGTCGCTCAACCGACTGAGCCACCCAGGCGCCCTCTCTGCTCAGCTTCTCACGGACCTTCATGCTCCACACTCCCCAAAAGGAACTCCAGCTCCTTCTTGCCCTTTACTTAACCTGTTCCTCTCACAGTCTGTCCACCTGGCACACACCTGGTGGTCCTCTCAGGTGCAGCTGAGGCCCTCCCCTCCTCTGGCAGTTGTTACAGGGAGGAGCAGCAGAGGGAAGCCCACCAGTACTCAGGGCCCAGGGGTGGTGGCCCTGGACACACTTGCCACAGGCCAGAGTGCCACCTGCAGCCAAGCTGGGGCATGGCAGGAAGCAGAGGGCCCTGCATCCGCAAAGCCGCACACCCACCGCAGCCTGAGGGCACACAGCGCCGGACAGGGGCTCCCGCTGACTGGTCTGGCGGCCTGGCGGCACTCACAGAGGCCACCGCTTATCTGATGCTTCCTTTTGTTTTTTTTGTTTTTGTTTTTTTGTTTTTTTTCAAAGATTTTATTTGACAGAGAGAGAGATAGCGAGAGAGGGAACACAAGCAGGGGGAGTGGGAGAGTGAGAAGTAGGCTTCCTGCAGAGTAGGGAGCCCGATGTGGGGCTCGATCCCAGGACCCCGGGATCATGACCTGAGCTGAAGGCAGACGCTTAACGACTGAGCCACCCAGGTGCCCCTCTGATGCTTCCTTTTGAACCTACCTGCTCCTGAATGGCATTATTCACCTGCCAGGTGACACCTTTATGCATTAGTCTTCTGAACCTGCGCACTCTCTGGGCCCCTCGACAAGACCCTGCTCTCTGAACTCATGTGTCCCATTCCTCTGAGGGAGTAATCCCCCTTTCCAGGTCTGCGGAGCCTGCAATCTCCCCACAAGCACCCGAGCCGTGGCACTCTCGGTGCTGGGACTGCCCTGAATCAGATCTACTGCAACGCCACACCCTTCTCTTCACCGTCCCAGCAGCTGTCACACCGTCCACGCAACCGAACATGTACAGGAGTCTCTGCCACACCGCGATATGCACGTTCCTGAAAACGACAGTGCTCTGCAAAAGTGCACAATAAAAAATACAGGGCCCATGGGAACAACACAAGGGACGTATCTCAAGACCAACACAACTCGATAAAACAGGCCAGGAGGAAACCAGTAAGTGGTGCCTGGCGAGGCACCCGCAGCCCCAGCAAGCAGCTCGGGGGCTATTAAACCGAGGGGAGATGCCGTGCGCAGGTGCCAAGGAGATGCCAGCGGGGCTGCCACTAAGGGGGGCCCAGGAGGAAAGGCAGCCTGCCGTAAGGCAAGGCTTGCACAAGCCTGCGGTCACCAAGGTTTCCTTCCCTGCTGGCGTGTAATTCTACCCTGCGTCCCAGCTCTCCCGCTAGGGAAGTGTTGCGCAAACCAGGATGACCTCCGCTGACATTAGTATCGCCCTCGCTGACCGCGGCCATAAAAACACGTATCACACCCACACAGACTGTACTTTGCTCCTGAAGAAACAAAGTCAATTCCTTACTTATCTTCAGGGGTGGCACGCTCCGTTCTGCGCAAAAGTAACCCCAAATAGCCGCACACACACCAGGAGCTCAAGGGAGACTGACACCAGTTACTCATCTCAGCGAGCGCAGAAGCCGCCGCGTGGCTCAACACGCCAATCAACCGCTCAGTTCCTCGGCCTCGGCCGGCCCCTCACCGCCCGCCCCGCCCGCGCGCCGCCACCCCTGGGCTGTCAAAGGGCAGCGCTCGGCCGGCCGGCCAGGGAATCCCCATCCTCTGCGACGTCAGTGCAGGGCGGCCCCACCACCCCGGGGCCCAGCTTAAGCGCCGGCGGCACTTCTTGGCCTCCCCGGGCATCCGTGCCGGCGAGCCTAATCTCTCGCCGCCAGAAGAGCAAGCGCTTCATCTAGAAGCGCTGCCACCGCTCCTGGGAGCCGCGTTCAGAGCGCCGGTAACGGCGGCCACCGGCCGAACCGGACACCAGAGGCTTTACACGCACGGCTTCAAATCTTCACCCAGTCCTGCCAATTCGGGCGCCTCTGACCGACGAGCGAGCGAGGTCATCTCGCCGGTAAATAGCGGGGCCCACCCGACTCCCCTGCCGCCCACACTCCCTCAGCCTCAGTTTCCCGGCGGCAGCCGTCGCTGAGGGCAGAGCGGACATGAGCCCCAGGCCCAGCGGCCCGAGGGAGCGTCGGCCTCGCGGCGCCCCCCGCCCCGGGGCCCCCACGCACCGGCTTCCCTCCCCTCGCCCAGGATCCGCTGCGGGGGCCCGAGCGCCCGTGACGCCTCCGACGGGCCTCGCCTAGGCCGCGGCCATCTTTCTTCCGGGAAGAGGCGGAGCTGGAACGGTGCGCGCGGGCGCGACGCCGGCGCGACGGCGCGGGCGCCGCCATATTTTGTCCGGGCGGAAGGGGACGCTCGGCCCCTCCAGGGCAACCAATGAGGAGGGCTCGCGTGCCCACGTGCCGTGCGGGCACGTGACGGGCACGTGACGGGCAGCGCCGGGCCCTCCGCCGCCGGTGGACGCGGCCTGCGCGCCGGCTTCGGGGCCTCGGGGGCGCTTCCCGCGCGCGCGCGCGCGCCATGAAGCTGCTGCGGCGCGCGTGGCGGCACCGGACGGCGCTGGGCCTGGGCGGCCTGGCGCTCTGCGGCGCTGGGCTGCTCTACCTGGCCCGCTGCGCCGCCGACGGCCCCCACCCGGCTCCCGGCCGCAGTCCCGCGCCCGCCGGGCCCGCGCGCGCCGCCGCCTTCCTGGCCGTGCTGGTGGCCAGCGCGCCGCGGGCGGCCGAGCGGCGCAGCGTGGTCCGCGGCACGTGGCTGGCGGCGGCGCGGCGCGGCCGCCCGGGCGACGTGTGGGCGCGCTTCGCGGTGGGCACGGGCGGCCTGGGCGCCGACGAGCGGCGCGCCCTGGAGCGCGAGCAGGCGCGGCACGGCGACCTGCTGCTGCTGCCCGCGCTGCGCGACGCGTACGAGAACCTCACGGCCAAGGTGCTGGCCATGCTGGCCTGGCTGGACGAGCACGTGGCCTTCGAGTTCGTGCTGAAGGCGGACGACGACTCGTTCGCGCGGCTGGACGCGCTGCTGGCCGAGCTGCGCGCGCGCGAGCCCGCGCGTCGCCGCCGCCTCTACTGGGGCTTCTTCTCGGGCCGCGGCCGCGTCAAGCCTGGGGGCCGCTGGCGCGAGGCCGCCTGGCAGCTCTGTGACTACTACCTCCCCTACGCACTGGGCGGCGGCTACGTGCTCTCGGCCGACCTGGTGCACTACCTGCGCCTCAGCCGGGAGTACCTGCGCGCGTGGCACAGCGAGGACGTGTCCCTGGGCGCCTGGCTGGCCCCGGTGGACGTCCAGCGCGAGCACGACCCGCGCTTCGACACCGAGTACAAGTCCCGCGGCTGCAGCAACCAGTACCTGGTGACGCACAAGCAGAGCCTGGAGGACATGCTGGAGAAGCAGCAGACGCTGACGCGCGAGGGCCGCCTGTGCAAGCGCGAGGTTCAGCTGCGCCTCTCCTACGTCTACGACTGGTCGGCGCCTCCGTCGCAGTGCTGCCAGAGGAAGGAGGGCATCCCCTGAGCTGCAAGCGCAGCCGACCCGCCACACGTCACGTGGCGCTGGAGGGAGGCCAGGACAGGTGCCTCAGGAGGGGGCCACCGCAGCGAGTCCCTCGGGGTCCTGTGGGGCCGCTGCTGAGGGGCCTCCCACTGGCCTTACACGGGCAAAGCTGGCCGGTTCGGCTGGTTACCCAGAATGAGTCCAGCCCTCGTGGGGGCCGGGTGCATTGGCGACCAGTGGGGTTTTCAGGCAGATGCCAAGCAGCAGTGGACAGCCGCTAGGTCCCAGCTCTGGTGGGCACCCAGGCCTGTGCACCCCCGTGGCCACCATGGGGCCTCACTCCAGACCCCGTCTTGTTCCGGGTCTGGGAGACCCGTGGGTCTTGCCAGGGCGGCACATAATGTCGGGGTAGCAGTGTTCTGTCCCTGGATCTCAGCCGGCATGGGCCTGGACTCGGAAGATGCCCAGCTTTGAGTGTGACGCAAACAGCAGTGGCTTGCAGCCCCGCCCCGCCTGCGCACCTGCTGTCTTCTCCCCAGGTGGAGGAGAGCAGCCAGAGGCTGGAGCCGACAGGCACTTGCGGCCCTGGCCCCAAAGAACGGATCTGGACTAGTTCGGGGGTGGGGGCTTCGTCTCGTCCTGCATCCTGTGTTGACCGTCCACCTAGGAAATCACCACACCAAGAGCTGTGGCTGCAGGGAAGTGACCCCTGGGCTCTTGCATGTTGCCGCTTGACTGTGGGTTGCACCCAGTGGCTTTTATCAAAATCACCGTGGATTTAGTGGGTTAGGTTACCTCTTATGTTCCATGTTGGTGTCATTTGTCACATGGCAGTCTAAGATTTAACTGTGTGTTTTGTTATTTAGCTCCAATGGTATTTTGGTCTGTGTTGCTTTAGAGTGAATCCATGGTAAATGTAATTCAGCGTTAGTCTGTGACTTATAAACATTGTAAATTTGTGTAGGTAAGTTAGGAGTGTGTGGGTCTCCGTATTTTTTAAATTATTTAAGGGAAGACTTTTCTATCAGAATTTGGGCTTTGTGGATTAATCTGTTTTTACAGCTTGAGTTACAGACTTGTTACCGCCTGTGTGTTTAAATGTGGAAGAATTCTAAAAGTGTCCATTTCTCTTTACAGTTTACACAAAAGTCAGTCCCATTGTCTCTTTCTGAAAAGACTTTCCTTTTAAGGCTTCCTCACGGCCATGCAGGGGCAAGTGTTTCTCACACACTCATCTGTTATGTTAGACTCTGGGCCCAAGTTCCAGGAATCTGAACCCTTGGAAGCATCGGTGAGGTTTCCCACATTCTGTCTTAAGAAAACAGGCTCTGCTGGTTGGCGTGACCTTTTGGAGACAGAAAGCATTCACGCGCACCCTCCTGGCTGATCACCTCTCATACCTAACACATCCTGAGAAGATCAGGGTTCTTTTCTCCCCATTAAATGTGAAAAGTGAGTGTTGTGGTCATCACAAAAGTCAAATAAAGAGGCTCCAGGACAGCCATGAGCCCTTCTGTCAGCCCAGTGGTGTGTGATGCTTCACGTTCTTATTCTGGAATCTGGGTTGGGTCGCCTGGCGATGCTGCTGGTGTCTATAGTCCACTTCGGGGCAATGCAGATGCAGGGAGCAAATCTCTTGACTTGCCTTTGCACTGCCTTTCCTTTGTGTTCTCAGGCCGTGGATTTTAGGAGCAGGTGTCCTGGTGCTCTTGGGCTGCCGTAACAACCCCGCAGACAAGCTGGCTTGAGCAGCAGACCTGTCTTCCTCGCGGTTCTGGAGGCTGGCAGTCAGGTCCGAGTGCTCGCAGGGCCGCGTGCTGGTGAGGACCCTCTTCCTGGTGCAGGTGGCCACTTTCTCGCTGCATCCTTAGCGCAAGAGAGAGCCAGAGCAAGCTCTCTGGTGTCCCTTTTTACAAGGACACTAATCCCACCAGAGGGCCCACCCTCGTGACCTCAGCTAACACCAGCTCCAAATACCATCACATTGGGGGTTAAAGCTTCAATCTAAGTTTTGGGGGACACAATCATCCTAGCAGCAGTCTGGGTTATTTGTGTTTAAAGGTAGAAGAGTACCCAGAATTTGGAGTCTTGGGCCAGAAGGAAGGGAGGATGGTCTTGTGGTTGCAATTCTCCTGCCTTTAGAAGGTAGAAGCTGGGCCAGAGAGGTCCCAAGATGTGACAAAGTTCTGATTATAAGGTGACTGTGGGCTTTCTGATCGGCCGCCTCGAGGCAGGCCTGACTGGCCCTGTGAACACATTTCCAAGACAAGGATTCATGAGAGGGTCCAGGTTTGGGGACACTGGGGTGAGCAGAATGGGACCCTGCCAACTGGGGTCAGGTTCCCAAGGGATACTGAGAACAGTGGGACCTGGTTCCTGCTGGCCATTTTCACCCGGATGTTTTGTCTGAACGTCGGGATCGTTGGAGTTGGCGTGTGCACGTCTCCGTTTTTCAGACGAGGAGACAGTGCTTGGACAGACAGCTTGCCGGGGCCACATGCCAGTGGCAGAGCCAGGATCCCACCCAAAGGCTGGACCTCCACATCCCTGCCCAGCATCTACAGTCCTGCTGTAGCTTCCGGGTTTCTCTGGAATGGACCCCATGGAAAGCATGGCACCAATGTCCAAGACCTCCTAGTAAAAAATCTAAAAATCGAGGGCATGTCTCTTTGGAGGAGTGGGGGAGGGTCCCTGAGCGTTAGCACTCACTTGAATCACATGGAAGTGCCCATATGCAGTCAGGTTTGACAAAAATGGAAAGTTCATATTGTTCAACGTAAATCATTAAATTTCAAAACAGAACAAACCAGACGCTGGGCTGACTGCGCATCATTACTGCGGTTGTGATGTCCGCATTCAGACCACACTTTGGGGCTAAAGGCCAGAGGCCCCTTCCTAGACTGACCCTCAGCCATCACCTTATCCGTGACCCCAGGGCCTGTGGATAGAGCCTGCCCTCCTCCAGTCCAGCTGGCAGGTTCTCCAGGTCGGGGTATCCCTCCCCAGACTGTACCTCCCACCCACTGAGGCATGCACTATGGGCTCCACACCATCTGGACACGTGTGCCCTATAGACCAGGGGCTGAGCTCAGGCTCTCCGTGAGCCCAGCACTGGCCCAGGGCCCAGGTGACAGTAGGCTCTTGGGAGATGGGGAATCAGACCACCAAACTGGTTTTTATGGGGGGGTTAGGATATAGGACCACTAACTCTTCTCCCAGCCAAACTAGTATCTCTCTTTAAGTGGCCCGTCAGAGCCCACCTCTGCAGGGCATCAGGACCAGATGGGCATGGGGCATCCGGCACCACCTCAAGGGATGCACCTCTCCTCGTGGAGGGCCCTGGTCCTGCCCCTCCCTCCCCTAAGGCCAATGTGGAGAGCCCTGGCAACAGCCCCTTCATGTTCCTGAGAAAGGAGGAAGAGACGGGGGGCATAAAGCCTGAGTGCCTTGGCCAAAGTCCCAGGGCTAGAAAATGGGAGAAACTTCAATACTGGCAGTAACAGGATGCATCTCCCAAGAATTACGTCAAGCAAGAAAAGTCCATCCCAAAAGGTTGCATACTGGGTACCTCCATTTCCATGACATTCTTGGACGATCATGGTTCTAGACATGGAGGGCAGATCAGTGCTGCCAGGGGTCAAGGAGGCGAGGTGGAAAGGGAGACGGCAGTTGGTTCTGGGACTGCCCCGCATCTGGCTTGGATGTCCACGTCCTGCTTGTGATGTTGTCCAGTAGTTTTGCAAGACTCTGCCACTGGGGGAGACTGGGTGAGGGGCACGGCACCTCTATTTGTCAAAACTGCATTGAATTTAC